TGTGCTGGTTGGGCGACATAACAGGTTACCGCTACTGTTTATTCCAAAAACATTGTGCGTCTTTCGGAATTAAATTCTAAAAATATCACGTAAATTTCGTTACAATTTCTCAGAAACGATCATTGCGGGAAAATTGTTGGCCGGGACTAAGATTTTTGAACGATCGATGCGATAAAACGATAGTTCGAGGAACGATAGAAGCGGGAAAATGTAACATTATTTTATATGGGATGTATTCGGGACCGAACAAAACGGACGATGCATCCGGGAAAACGATAGTTCCGGGAACGATGGATAGAGGTTTCACTGTATTCCTTTTCTGGGGTGATTTCTATATTAGAACCACAAACTAAGTCTTGGCCACTTCCTCCCAAAAGAGGCTACTTGAGCATGTAAATAATATACTTAATCAGTACTGGTAATTACCACAGAATGGAGAAAACATATTGCAAACTACGGCACAATACAAACCAAAATGTAAAAAAAAGTTTATTACCTATCATCATCATTTTCTTTGGGACTGGACAAGAAATTTGCCAACCAGTGCCAAGCAACTGCCAGCAGTGCCAAACCTACAGCTGGCAACAGAAGAGTTTCTGTCAATTTCCATACAGTTTCTGTAGAAAGGAAGTCAAACTCAGCAGAGCATGTATAAAGTAATGTATGGAAGTCCCGATAACCAGTTAGTTTTGATTTCAGAATGTTGATAATGTGACCCTGTAACAAAATTAAATTATCTCAAAACAATTCCCTGTTACCTTAGAGAGGATGTAGAAAATCATTCCCGAGACATCATGGTAGCAAAGAATCATCAAATGGCAATAGGCAGACCAATCCTAAGTAACAAAGAGATTGGCGGTGATGATGGCAGACCCACAGAGGGCTGAATAACTACAAAGAAACTGCAGGTAAGACTCAAGAACAAGTGAGTCAATACAAAAGAATAGCATACATAAGAAGAAAATCCGCTTTACGCGCGTCAGGAACAAAGCTTGAGAAGCGTACAATGCTTGCAGACACTAAGAGAGTGGTTGTTGCAGTAAGTGTTAAAGGGTCCACCATATATTCCGTGACATGCAACTGCGCCCATTGCAACATGTCTGCATCAATGGTTACCAAAGAAGCATAAAACTTTGCTGTCAGGTCCTCCATGTCAATTGGCAGATCCTTGTAATCAATTTCTTTCAGTACAACACTTAAAAAGCATTCTGACAACAGACAATCAAGAGAACAAGGCAAATCCTCTGTACACCCCAAAGACAGAACTCACTTGTTTTTACTCAAAGTAATCATAATCACCTGAAATGAAATTGTTTCAAATATGTTGAGAGACGTGTATACTCAGTGCCAAGTATAGACCATATTGCAATTAGACTGATTGATTTAAACACTGAAATTCAATGTTCCATAATTATTAAGCACTGACTAGAAGGGAAAAATAAATATCTGGTGTCCATTAATTATCAGACAATTTGATACACCTGTAATTATTTGTAACACATACAAAAACTTACAGAACTTCCATGACCACGTACGAAGAAACATGTGTAACTCTTTTTGTAGTACACAAGTTTTTCACATGTGTTACAAGTAAATGATTACACACCCTTCAAATTTACGGACAGTCTATATTTTCTGATGAATACAATAAATGGCTGACTTAACAAACAACTCAGAAGGCTCAATAAAAATAATGCAATGATGCAGAATATTTACATAACGGAAAAATTATGGAGATAAATGGTGGAATGTGATGTTCTCGATTGTGACACCATTTAATCTTGCAGGCGGTTACAATGTTTCAGAGGAACACAATTTCTCCATCTTCTACCCTGAATTTGGAGATGTTATGAACCTGTGAACACTGGTAACCACTTATAAGATTATATGGCATCACAACCCAGAAGACCACAAAACACATTTTCACCATTGTGAAAACCTTAAATCACATCTCCTTATAAGTCTTTCTTTATAAGCATTTCATTTAAATAAAAACAAGATTATGTTTGAAAATATTAGTTTGTTTTCACACACAACAAAATTCAACCAATCTCTTTTGTAGTAATGTAGTACTTACGTCATCCTTGTTGCCGAGGGCGTGGGACAAGCGTGTTTTGAGTGTAACTGTTCCCAAGAGTGAGAGAGAAGCCAACATCAACCCTCGTGGCAGACAGTTGAACAGCGTCAGAGCTGGCTCCAACGTAAGCATCACGACCAATAAAGACGTAATCATACAAGTAAAAACTGAAGTTAGGAGGAATTCATTGCCATACAAAGAAATAGATGCTTGAAGAACTCCGAGCTGGGGAAAGAAATAAGACTCCCAAGTTAAAATATACAGCCATTAAAAGAAGTCTTAATAAAAACAATGCATGTAGTGTATTATTTTGTTGTTAAACAAACTTGGAAGTAACAGGAGTTCTGGTGCACGTCCGCATGCACGCAGCAGTCCACAAAAAGTCTGGTAGCCACTGTCCTTAAGAGCTCGTGTATTCCATCCTTTATGCCTGACTTTTCTATGCACTTCATTTTCAAACGAGCCAAAATTATGTTTGTCAATAAGCCTACGCTTCTTGTGGGGCAGTGCTCTACGTGGGCCGCACATTTATAATCCCTCACGGCACACTCGTTATTTTAAAGCTCGATTAACCGTACGTGACGCGATGCCGACACTGAAAGAACTTATACTTACACCCTGTCCAAAGAGGACAATAAGCAGTGAGTGTTTATCAATTGCACCAATAATAAACATAGCAGCCAGCGCAACAGTCTGCGTTGCAAGGACGAACTGAGAGAACTGCCACAGAATTAGACACAGCCAAGTTGAACCAGAGATAGTGAGGAGCTGCAAAGAATGCGAACCTTACATTAGATGTAATACATCAAAAGTATGCAACAGCTTCCATACTTGACTCCATGATTTTGGGCGGATAATGTGACATGCATAAGCAGAGAAGTGAATGACAATGGGAATAGGAAGATATCAAGATAAACCAACACATCTCACATTAAACATCTTCAGCTGAGCTCAATGTTAATAATTCTATGGAATTTCCAGTTAGATATTAAAGAGCTGCCTCACAAAGAATAAGAATGCTATAAAGCTGCAGGAAAAACAACGCATCTAGTATGGAATATCAGCAATTCTGCCAACAAAGTGACACTTGTTTTATTCTTATTTTGTTAATTAGCGTGTATCTGCATTCTCTAACTGTCAAGTTTATTTCTGCCTTCATAACAGAAATTCTTTTGATGTTGTAATTCTTCACTTTTCCCAAGGCACTACAATGCAAATTATGTTCTATACCTGCATTAGAAAGGATGATTTCACTGATAAACTGCTTTCACGTTTACGCAAACAAAGAGTAACACAGATAATCTGAAGGAGGCAGAATGGATAGGCAAAGCTCTCTCGTAATGGTGGCGTCCACTGTACGCGTGTACACTGAAATAAAATTTCATAAAATAATGTATAAATGTTAATAAAGCAAAAACAATACAAAGTAAATAACAAATGGGGTTTCTCAGAATTTCTTCTGTAAATTAGGTACATATTTAAACACACAAACATGACTTGGGGATGGAACAGTAGGACATTTAGGGTGCCTATCATTTACCCACTTTCACATCCTTTTATCTGTCTTATAGGGCTTCAAGGTCATCCTGAACTCACGTCATATTCTTTAAAATATTAATGAACTATGCCATCTACAGATATCCATTATCATGATGGCTGTTTGCCTTATGCATTGAAACATTATCATAAGAACCTCAAATCTCACTTATTAATGATAAATGATGAAATGAAAAAATAAACTGAGCATGACAGTAATGAAATTGTAACAATATTGCTTTTGAAATGTTCTCATATGGATACATACATTCTGAAGCATACTGTAGTTACCGGATGTCTATTTTCCCATGTGTCATTAAATAGCATTTGATCATTTGGAATTTCTCTTTGAAAATATATAATGATCTTTCATACTTCTCACTGAAAATAAAAATCTTTCATCTTACAGTTAGGAGTCAGGTAGCTCAGCCAATTTAGTGATAAGGCTATGGGCTGAATGACCGGGATTAATATCGCTTCAGTGTATAGCCCACACAACCGTTTACATAATATGTCCTGTGATTCTATCCTTGTGGATAAAGCAGCTGGGGTGTGAAACTAAAAATCTAAATAGAGTAACATGTAAATGGCTGAACGTCATAATACCAAATTTGGAAAACCACGAAAAAACCCAGTCAGGATAGCTTGTCTCTGGGACGAGATTTGAACCCCAGACCCCCCAAATATGAAGGAGTATTAACCACTGGACCACAGTGTTTGGTATGACACTTGTGTCAGAAGATTTATTATCTTTTGTAAACAGTATCATACTCACCTCACCGTGATTATAGAAGAAACACGCAACTGCAAGCAGGCCTCCTGCCAAAGACCCACTGTAAAAGAACATGCATCAACAGCTGTACCATCATGTACCAATCAGCACAATATTTCAAGCTTCAGATTCTTATAGCCTGAAGTCCTGGCAGCAGAGCTAAGCACCAGGAATTAGAGAAAAACAAGATTGAAACGTCTACACGAGCTTAACACACCTTATAAATAGTCCATACAGGAAGATCAGAGCCATAGTAAGACCAGCGCACAGCCACACTATTTCTAGGTAGAAATATGCTGGGTCACCTAAGCCCTCACAACTAGTAACTGGGGGTAACCCTAGGCCTCTCTCCACTTGCCAACACTGCTTCGTGGCCCAACCTAGCCAGTCCGTCACTGCCACGAATGCTCGGTACAAGAAACCAATCACTACCTATAAATACAAAATTAACAATAACTTCACTGAAATAAAATTAATGAAACCTAATCCCCATCACAGAACCACAGACTACTTACATAATGAATTTTCTAGCTGGTCCAGATAATTAGAAGTACCAATGTTTTGAAACAGAAATAAATGTAGTCTAACACGTTGATGTAAATACATAATCAAAACAGAACCATTACAGAAAAATGTAATTTGCATGTCTTTCTTTCAATTTAATTTGAAATGCATCACACCCATTCTATCACTCTTGAATTATGTCTTAATCACAATGATGTGACGAAAAGCAGCCATTTAAGTAAAGAAAGCTGAAGTCTAACATTTTTATTTTATATGGTAATTGGAACCTAGAAAGCTAACATTGCCCTGATGACTAGAAAACAATGCTGCAAAATTACAATATTTCAAGTTGTCATTATTGCCAACAAATCTGTTTTTAACATCGTATACAAGTGTATAGTGGACCATGAACACAGAAACTATCTTTTGTTTCAGTGCGGTGTTCCCACTCTGTGAATGTTAGTATGTGGATGTGAATATGTGATGTTATTGTTTATCATGGAATATGAATTACTTGAAAGATACCCACGTCATTAAAATCATATCAAAGAGCTCTGTAATCTAAAACCAACAAGATACGTCACTGAACACCTGATATGTAGTTATCACAACAGTGGAGGCTGATAAAAGATTAAAGCCGCTTGACTGCGAGTATCCATAAATATCTAAGATATAAATGGCAAAATTCTACTTGTTTCCTTCATGAACGTATAAGACGCAACCGCAGACATGTCATAAGTCATAGCTGTTTAATTATGGCTTATTCACTACTCGATGCGACATATATGCAGGCATTCTGGAAACTTCGTTGTCCCACCAAGTACTGGCATTTACGAATTAAAAGATGCGCGCATTAATGATACGAGTCATGGCAGATTATAAATAGATCAGGCATCATTCCGACTTGAATAAAAGTTAATAAAAATTAAAATTCAGGCTCAGGCCAAATGGTCCTCAGAATAGGCCAGGAGAAATTCAAAAATTTTGGTCTGTGCAGGCCTTAATGTCCCCACACCTCAGGTCACCATAATGTGTCATTCCTTTATATACTCAAAACTACTCATGCGCTTAATGAACAGAATAAGTTAACCAATAATAGTATTCCTTTGAGAAGAAATTACACTTCACATGAACTTACTTCTGGATATAAATTAAACCTCTGCAATGTGTTGATAACAGATGGAAATTCAGTTAAATTATCATGAGTAATCTGATAAAAACCATCTGAAAATGTTGGCGCTTCTATCAAAGTTTTGTAGTAGGAATAATAAAGTCCCTGGAACATAAACAAATACACACACAGTGTAATCTGTACAACCAAGCTTGAGTTCCAGTCTTCCTAATGAAGAACTGTGATGTAATACAATTTCCTGTATTGTTAACAGACCATTACAAGCAAATTCATTATTCAATTACTGATGGATGAAAACCTCTGTCGATATAGATGGCAAATATATTCCAAACTACACATTCATCCTTGCATCATGCATCCTGGCTCTGGAATGATTTCAAATTTTTGAGATGTACATTTCTCATACCTGACACACATCTATATTTGGAATACTTTATTCTTTAAGGAATTAGACTTCAATTCAATCTTACGCTCAGCATCAGTCATTTAGAATCTACGACGACTGCATCATAACAAATGCATGGACAAAGGTTCAAATATTAAAACTTAATGACAGTTTGTTGATATCAAGCTTTTTACGGTTTCTACATATCATGCTAACTAAATGCTGGCACATCTTAATACAGATCATAATCATTTGTCCCAAACAAAAGTGATATTCTTTACTAACTAAAAGCTATGGGTATTTAAGAGATCCAAAAAAACATAACATAATTAGAGTCAGCATAAATTCACCTTATGCACTTAAATATGTAGTGTGACCCAATTTTCTGGTCATTACATGTACAGAATGTCACAAAAAGATGTACAAACCCATTCAATAAAATAAATAAAGTCATTTTAACAAATTGAACCATTACACATGTCACCATTGGCACTTAGTGAATTAGTGAATCTGGTGTAGATGTTCAAAGTTATCATCCTTAGCTTCATGACACAGTTGACAGTGGTGAGCAATTGACTGACAAATAGCCACCAAAGTTGCTGCTCGGACGGCTGTATAACAAATCTCTTAATTGATAGTTCCAATGTTACCTTTATTTACACACATTTTTTGTATGATAAAGATAAAACAAACCATTTCAGTACGGAAAGTCATTTCTCTTTCCAGCGTGGAAAGATGCGAAAAATGTCGGTCATTTTCAAACATGGATGCGACGTGGTAAACATGTAAGCACGCTAACCCAAATGCTGTAAAGCAAATCATAGAACCATAGTAAATACAGAGAAATATGAAAATGAATACTACTCCTAAAATAGATGAGTACAAATAATAACTTAAGTTTAAAATAAGCATTTTGTTTTTAATTCCAATACCACAGCAAAAATTATGTGTCACTTGTATTGAAATTAAAATTTAATCTTTATCAATTATAAATAACTATGCCATGATGTATTTTTGTTATGGTGTAGATACTATTCCATTTCATTTATGCCCATGTGGTTTCAATCATAAATTTTTAATGGAAGAATAAAACCATGTGAGAACAAAATGTTGATTAAGATCACTACACAACATGGAAACATGTCACATCATACACATTACAACCTGTAATAAGTTCACAATGGAATGATAAACTTGTCAGATTTCATGTTCTTACAGCAACAAATATTAAGATGGCTGTCTTCTGTGTTATAGTGTCATGTAGTCTAGTAGAAGTTTACTGATGTTTCTGAGGTGGTTGATACTTTGCTCATGCCCTGATGATGGGGGCAACAAGCGCCTCTGAAATGTCAGTAAACTTCTACCAGACTATATAGACCCAGAATCCAGAAGACACTAGTCAGAAACTTGTCTGAAAAACTTAAATCCATTTCAAAGGTGTATCAGGTTTAAACAGCTTTTACCAGTAAAGAGTCAAGGAATTTGTATCTTTAGAAAATAAACATCAGGCTCAAACATACATGTCTGAGAAAATGAATGTAATGTAACGTACCCAGGAGCAAGAATACGCCGACTTTTTTTTTCCCAGATCACAAATTGGTGTAAGGCTAGTAAACAATCATACACAACACATTTACTGAATTACTGTATACATGTCCTGATTATGGTGGTAGTACAGACCTCTGAGACACTGACAAAATACTGTGGAAAACCTCAAACCTTACATTATTGTAATGTAACTTTACTGTACAACTTCTACCTATTCAGTTAACAGATTGCAAAATCAATAATCAGAACCAACTCCATGGTACATAGTCTTTATCGAACAACTGATAGTTATTTAGCCAGTGAAGACATTCTGTACTATTCTGGTTCATGAGAGTTCACAAAAGCCACCATTGGACTGTACCCACTGCCACTTCAATCCAGTTTATGCCTTCATACCAATTTCTCTACACATTTTAATATTATCTGCAGTCTAGTCCTTCAACTCCAAAGCAGTCTATTTATTTCCATCAGACATTCCAAATAAAATTTGTAATGCAATTCTTACTCAACCCTATACACATGCCCTGCTTCTCCTATCCTTCAATTCAAATTCTGAATAATCTGTATTTAGAAGAGCACTTCTGATTACACAACCTGAAAATTCCACCTCCTCGATCACTTATTATAAAGCCAAAATTTAAAACAGCATTTGAACTTCATCAAACATATGTTTGCTTGCAGGTGTACAACAATTATGCCGGAAAATGGTCGCTTAAGACGAAAATACGCAGACCGGCCAAACTCCGGTTAAATGGCGAAACTACTGGTTTAATCATTCTGGAAACGACAAAACTACGGAAATCAAACATTCTCCGACTTTTACGATCCTCTTAACTAGTATACACAGCCCCACCCTTTCATAATAATGATAAGACTAAGGCCATGTGTTCCTTCTACAACATATTTAATTTAACAATGGATTACTTTACACATACCTAAGGAGACTACGGACGCACTATACAAAACAGCATTTTTCTTCTCGCTTAAGTTAATAATAGTAATGACTTCCTTAATTGTGCTATCAGTCTTTGAAGTTTTCCGAGATTTTTCTTTCCTTTCTACATTAGGTGGGATTAAATGTTTTCTTTTCTCGTTAACGTTACTTTGCTTCGTCGCCATTTTCAAACAAACTCGCAAAAATTCCTCTTACAATCCCTTCCGACAGCTCTCGATCACGAATACAAACATGACATCGATAACAGCAAGCGTGCAACAGACCAAAATTTCTCATTTTGCTTAAACTTGTAATTGTATACTCTCGCCTTCAGTAAGTATGTAGTTCGTTGACACATGTTTTGTAGAGATAACTGCATTTCAATGAAATTACAAATTATCAGTGACGAATACTCTAATCTGGTTAGTAATGCGACGTTAGACTACTGAAATTATGTAACCCATGTTCGGGGGGACTTTCAGGTCCATAGGTAGGTTGTCTACAGTTTCCGTGGTAACATGTGGCAGACTTTGGCAAAAGTCGCGTTGGTATTACTGCTGACGAGGATCCAATAGCTCGTCGCCCATACCGAGGTTCGGGAAAGCAGACGATTCTTGGTTGAGACTGTGGACCTGCAGGTAGATACGAACATTTCGGAGGCACATATTGTGCCCGTCTTCATGGCTTTTATGTCAATAGGCAGCCCAGCTGTTAGGGAGTAAAAACATGTAAGAGGGTGTTGAACTTTGTGTTGTGTTACTCAAGTTTATGGAATACCGTCCATTTTCATTTTTACAAGTTCTTTAAGTAAACATACCATGATGCAGCATGGATGGTGTTTAAATATTTACTGTAAAAATTACAGAATGAATTAATCTAAATATGACATAATATTTAAAATGTGAAAATCAAAATTTTAACAAATTACTAATAAAAATGAATCTGCATAACAAATGTCACACGTAATTTTAGCAGTCATTATGTGAAATGTAATTTTCTTGAAAGCTGGAAGATTTTGTCATTACGTCTCTAACTTGAAATTAACATCTGCGATTTTTATCTGTTTGAATTTTTACACAAAATGGTTTGACAATCTTATGGGGAAGTTTCATGAACTTGCTTGGCACTAAGACGGTTGAGAATACTTTCAAAATAAGAGCATCAAAAGTTGCACTTTTGCTTAAATAGGATTAACTTACTTTACCAGAATCATCTGCATTCCATGTTCTTGATTTCTTCTTGGGCATGATATTTAATTCCACCCTTGGCTGGAAGGCAATTTCAACAAACGATTTACGATTGATTTTTTTTAATGATACAATATAATTCTTGTTGAAAGACAGGAAAAGAAAAAAGAACTCAAACTTCATACAATATGTACACAACTTAGGTCATAGCAGTTTCACTTTGCGTGTCAATTAATGAACACAAATGTTGACGATTGTCATTCGTGACATCTCACATCATTAATAGAAAAAATATCCGTATTATATGTGACACTATTTAATACAAGAATACTAATATGTGCTTGTAGAAGCACTACTCCATCAACGTGTTTCTAAAGAAGCAACAAGCGCACATTCCCTTGAACAGAGAACACATTCATTACAAAACAATTACCAGACATTGTCACACATGCACCCACACAGATACATACAACTTTGTAACAAATCAACTTAAATTCTAAAGCCCTGATAGGATGGTAGGTTTTGAGTCCTGAGTTATATCAAACGCTGCACGCTGCAATGGTCGCTGTCACACATATCATACTTCTAAATATCCATATAAAGGAGCATTTTATAACTTGTTATTTATTTTGGTCCTTTGCATGTAGGCAGAGTTTGACATAACATTAGTTTAGTAATGACACGCAGACTGTTTTGAACCGAATAGTTTTCTTGTGTGATGAAACTCCCCCCAACGATAGAACCCGCACACGCGGTGGTCAACGGCCGTTTCATCGTGACATAACACGAGACTGTCCCGAACAGCGATGTCTTTATCATTATGAAGAATGCTGCCAGTTTTGGATTTTCACCAAATATTTGAGGACGCTATCATCACATTTCATTACCAACACATAAACATTCATAATTTTATATTTTAAATACAGTAATAGTCTGACACAATAATTGGCCTCTGCTACGTAGTTGAGTATCAAACGGCTCCTCCTGGAAACACAGCGCTACAACAGTCCGTAACATTTTTCAACTGTTCCACTCACCCTGTATGCTGCAAAGAGAATGTTCGTTCAATTCCATTTTATCCTGAAAAAAATAATTAATTATTTTTATATGAACTTGTGACAAACACAGAGTTCAATACAATAATTATCTTCCCTTACTGTTTGTACAGTCTACCGGAGTCTACAAATTATAATTTCACAGACAAGAACAAAAACACACGTGTTTACAGAGAACGCAGAAGAAAGCTCCAAACAATAAAGCTTAAATAGTACGTAAATTAGTGACCTTTTTGTTTACCACCATCGACATGCTGTTAAACAGTTGCGACATTTTCATATGCTATTAAATTCTCCAAGGGGGCTCTGATAATGTTAATAATACCGATATCCTGTTTGACTGGGAAAGAACGACACGATTTGCTTGCACTACGTCTACGGACTCAGGTTCCTGCACTGCTCATCCTTGCGTACGATCGTAAACCCGACTCAGGCAAGACAGCATCGAGCAGCCAAAGTGCCACCTGGTTATGAACGAGGCACAGATACTGGGAGTGGGGGAAGCATACAGAGATTCTGGTATAAAGAAACTGGCAGGCAGTTGTTTTTCACAGAGTAAATGTCCGGCTATTTGTGCTGCATTTCTTTGGTGTCTTAATTAAACCAAAATTCTGCCTACGTAAAAGATCACTCCAATGTATCTTATATAGCTCACCATCTGCTACAGTCCCGTGTACTGAGGGGAGTGCTCCACTGTCTGGTTGCTTTCGACTCCACCGTGAGCCAGTCTTGAAAATGGATTCCGTGAATTTGGTCGTTTTCGCCGGCTTCTGTCATCCACAGTGTTGCACATCTCACTGTTTGCAAAATATCACAATGTTACCAATGAACCCAAATGGTTAAATGACAGTTCCAGAAACACACACACACACAGAAAAATTACCATAACGTTTCAGCCCAATGCTTGAGGTCACTGCACTGAGATTATAATTTTTTACATTCTCAGATAATTATCAAATTATGGGTTAAAATGTTTTAGTTTTAAATTAGTTAAAACAGTTAACAAGTTGAAGATTTCTGTGTTCTTGGTTGTTGCGCAGTGTAGTCTGGTCAATGTTTACCAACGTTTCAGAGGTCATACTGCCTCCGTCATCAGGGCGATGAAAACATCGACCACACTACACAGCGCAACAACCCAGAAGACAGAAATCTTCATACTCACCGCCACGAAAACCTCAAATCACACAAAGTTAACGAGTTACAAATGTGAGACTCACCCAAAGAATGGTACAAGTCCTATGAGAAGCTCCTTGTCAGGTGCAGTGGCCAGATCAACATTTGTTTGCACTAAATGATTCATCACACAACGCAGATAGTGCTGCAACCTACGGCGACGTTCCTCAACAAACTTGGCATCCTGTAGGCATGCCATATCATGCGTGGAAATCAACTCACAGTACGTCGTAACATATGAAGGCGCGTGTCTGCGCCTTTCAGAATTTACAGATTTTATTTGTATAGTACGCATTACAGTTCATAAAAATAACAGATTAACGTCATTTACAGGAATAAGTAATAAATAACAAGAGGAAAATAAAGAATCAGAATTAGAAATGGCTATTTGGGAAAGGTGAAGTGTGGGTTATTTTGTGTCAAATTAACCTTTGTTAGTTGCAACGTTACTTTCCACGTATGAAAATTGTTTAAATGGCGACACGAGGTGCAACGATTCTTTTCGAGTTTGGTGATTTGGCACAAAATGACCCATGTGTGACTCGTATAAATAAATGTACAAGATATCAAGGCAACAGCAGCAGCCCCCCCCCCCCAAAAAAAGAAGAGGAGGAGGATAGTCTGAAGAGAGGACAAAAGACAGATGAACAAGATCTCACTGCTATTACCACTCTTGTGAAAATGTGAAGTACAGAGAAATACAAATAATGCAATAAAATGTCCTGGCACCTCAGTCAAAAAACAGTTGTATATGAATAAAGATATAAAAAACTGAAAGCTTGTCAAATCAGTTATTTTAACTATTACAAAGGTAAGGATGTATGCTTAATTATGTTTTAAGCGGACTTACCTGTAATGGTTATTTCTGACCATAATAGTATTAAAAAACCGAACTGAAATTTTAAAAAAAATCAGACAATGTAAATTTTCCTAGTGGCACTACAGACATATCTTACCTTATTACCCAGAGTTTTTTTGGGTGGAAAGTCAAACGTGCTGACGATAGCGTCGTACTTCTTCAACTCTTTATGCAAAGAGTAAAACTGTGCATAACGCCGATATACATTCCATTCATCGTCACGTATACGAATGTAAACCTGCAATGCAATAAAAGTAAGTTAGGTCTGTTCTCGTCCTTAGGTTTCCATGGCTGGAGTTCGACGAGCGACTCTGGGTTTTGGGGACGAGCTCCATCAAATGATGTTTTTGGTCCATGCTGATGGTTACATAATTGCATGAAAACATAAATAAAAAAGCACAGAAGTTGTATTAAATGGTAGTGAGGGAACTGAAGAAAACAAAGTAAATGTACATGTCTCATCACCAGACTCTTGGACAAAATCTACCAAGCAGTTCACAATCTATGGTCCTCCCATCTGCTATGTAAAACGTAAAGATTAAAAATATCTTCTTCTATGGCTCTCTGGTCTGTATTCGGTCCGTGGCCTCCTCAATTCTCCTATTCTGTTAGGTCCGTCTGTCCGAGGCTTTGATCGAGGTTTCAAAACGTCTTCCTTTTTACGGTGCAAGGTTGTTAGCCTTGCGACCAACCCCCAACCTGGAGGACCGATTAAAAATATACAAAACTATAATTTTACCTGTTGTTTTAAAAGAGTGTGAAACTTCGCCTCTCATACAGACTGCAAGCATTTGAGGAAAGTGATGAGAATTTATGGACCTAGATGAAGTGATAGGCGACCAGAGAAAACTGCATAATATGGAGTTCCATAATTATTTCCCTTCACAAACATTATTAGGACAATCCAACTGAGGGGGATGAGACTAGAATTATGATTCCAGCTGTATTCTTACATCACTTCCAGTCTGGAACTTGGAACATTTCAAGTGCTTGAATCATGTTGCACAGAGTGTACACATTTTTTATGTTGCCTATAAGAGCAAAGTGTTCGTCAGATCTGTTTATATTGTACCAAACTGTGTTTTGCTTTGTGGCATCACCGTATTAATAATATAAAATCTGATGTGATATTAGTTCCAAGAACTGGAAATTAACAGTTGCAGGCAACAACAGTTCTTTTGTTTTTCCATTAGCATGCTAAATCAGTCATTAGAACAAATAAAAGACGTGAATATTTTCATCCATTAATTTTTGCATGTATGTGTGAGCATTATGTCCTCCTTCCACTCACTGGCCCCAGTAGAATTTCTCATAAATATAATTAAACAGAAAAGCAGCAAATTAGTAGCCGTGGGCCAAAAGTTCTCCTCAACCCACATAATTAGTAGATCCGGGATCTGTTTGATGCCTCGTGTCAGACGGACCTGATAAACGTGATGGACGTCAGACGAGCCGCCTGTCAGGAAAGCCGACGGTATCCAGATGTTAACAAGCGCTCTGGCCGCAGCACACAGAGAGCCGGTGTCATAGTCGCTGGTCACACTCAGATCATCGTCTGAAGTGGCAACATCATCAGGCAGTGGTCCGCGCAAATCTACAAGCTCCTCTCGCAACCGACGTAACGCAGCGTCTTTCTGCTGCAGAAGTCGATGTAAGCGATCATTGAACTCCATAAGTTCTCCATGCATCTCTGCTACCTGAAATTTACGATCGCTAAAACTTTCTGCTAGTTACACTGAACCAAATAAGTAACGTATAGCCACTGCAAATGGCTTCATGAAGTCAAAACACGTTTGGCAAGTTAAGAAAAAAATTGCCGATAATTGTGGTTCATTCGTTCAACTTTTTTGCTATAGCACTACACTGAATAAAAGGTTTTAAAATTGTCTTGTATGATTGCAGTACACAATCTCTTACTTTCATACAAGAACGAAATGACAAACATTTGGATCTAGAATGGATCAAGTGAGCAGTTTTTAAAATAATACATAATGAGAAACTTAACTGGTTGCTAGGGCGATGAAAAAGGGACACACAACTTCAACGGAGCAGACGAGTAATGCACAAAAATGTTGTGGGGAAAACTCTCAGACCAAGTGGAAGATGGGAAGTAACATTATGAAAGATGGAAGACAGAAGGTTGATAGAACTAGTTCACGACAGTATCAAATTGCAAGCTTTGGCATCAGTGGCGTTGAATAACAAAAGAGTTAGAAGAAAACTCACTTGGATCAGTTTCTTCTCATATTCACGAGCCTCGTGGTGATAATCCGGATAAGAGACGTCTCCGGATTTCGGCTGACAAGCCTCCAGACTAGCCAGAGCTTCGTGTGCCTGAGTGCCATCCCGCTTCAACATCTGGACGGCCCCCACGTACTTGCGCAACTGGTGCTTCAAAAGTTCATTCTCTCTGCAGACATAAGGACACTTGTATTACAATCGTATTAACGACGTAAATATCTCAGTTTTGTCGTGAAAATGGTCAATTTCTAACACCACACAGAACACATGCTCATTCTGTCGGACTCCCTCAGCTAGTGGACTGGTGTCACGGCCCAGAAGACCACAATCCACATTTTCACTTCACCAAGAATGAAAAATTTCCTCGGTCTCTTTGCTGTGATAACTGAGTGTACCTGATTTCAAGCAAGTGGCACTCCCTTGCTCTTACTGAACACATGCAACTTTGCACATTTTATTTACAGTGTTACACTGCTAATAATTTTCCCCCTTGAAGGACATTTGATTTTTGGGGTCCAGCCATAAGACCAATACTTAAAACAGAAACATTTTCCATAAAAGAAGTTCTCATATCTAAAATTTTCCTACCAAGTTCATAATGTCACCACAATTTCTACAGTTAACATATTTTAGCAATTCTTGAAGAAAAAAAATTCAAAATTCAGTTTCAGTGATATTAAATCTAAATGTGTTATCACTCAGGCGATGAACAAGAAAGAGTCTCTGCAAATAAATGCACACTGGGGCAGCCATCACAGAAATTACTAATGGATTAGTGAAGGGGCTTATGACACGGAACTTCCCATGTTCTATCTGGATGAAAACCAGCACGCAATTCATTAAAGCTTGTAAACATTCTTGTTCTATTATCTTTTTTTCTCCTGGTTTATAATTTGGATTGCCTCGCATGTACAGTTTTGAGCAGTTTGTGTCTGATATTGGAAATCCAACAATTTATTTTCAGTTACCAACAGGAGGGCAGAGGATTTTTCCTCTAGCCTCTGCGTCCAGACCGGCTCTAGGGCCCACCCAGCCTCCTCTACAATGGGTACCGGGGTCCTTTCCCGGGGGTTATGCCGGCCGGGGCGTGATGCTGACCACTCACCCCCATCTAGTGCTGAGGTCAAGGAAGAGAGGAGCTATACCTCCACTCACCCCAAACGCCTACATGGCGGATAGTGGGACAAACTTTACTTTTACTATAGAAATCAACTTTTTAAGTTCTTTAATAGCTAGAACGAAAGCAGTACAAGAAAACTGCAATCTTCCTCAAATTCTCACCTGACTAAACCCTGAATCTGACTTTCCAAGCGATCTATTTTGTCTTGGTGTTGGCGATTAGTTTCCGCTAGTTCAGCCTTCAACTCTGCATTCTGTTCCTGTGCCTGATCAAGAAGCCTCTTAATAGAACGAGTTTCAGCCTGCAACTCCTCTTTACGGGCCAGGAGGGACATAACAGCTTCGCGTACCTCACCTGATTGCATGCGAAGAACACAGTTTAATCTAAGAATACAGCAGTAAACAATCACTATGCAAAACACAAATTAATCATGAATGTAAAGTTATTAATATTTTAATCAATAATCCATCTACCATTAGGATAATAAATTAGTGATTCAATTTGTTAATAAAAGCATAATTTCATCATAAATACCATCTAATTTTGAAATTAATTAGTAACAAAGAGTAATTCAAAATATTATACCTAATCATTTGTTGTGACTTAATATAACAGGACACAGTAAAATTAAACACTTGATGGCTGTCTGTGACTGCCTACTCAATATTTTTGAACCTCCTTTCAACACCTGGAGTACGTTGTTGTTTTGGCTAATCAAACTTAAATATTTGGAAACAATGGGCCTAATTGGTAATTTGAAATAGTTTGGTTCATTTAAAATTATTGTTTGCCTGGACGTTTTCGATCGTCCTCGCTTAAAAAGAAGAAACCGCGTTTTGGAAACTGGCTCTGTTTCCGTCTTCAGGCAAGAGGTACCTACTCAGTTGGGCCTGTTAGATAGAGCTAGTCTCCACGGACAATAAATAATTTTAAGTGTAATCCACCATCGTCAGAACCCTTTAGAGTCGAGTTTGGTTCATCTTTGGAAGCTGTGAACATAGGATGATAACATCACTTTTCAAGGCATCAAGCCACGATAAAGTGGAAGAAGTTTAATTCCAATACAATGTGTGGCTTACATCTTCAGTAAAGGAAAGGATAATATAATGAAATAAAAACTGATTTTCATGCATTCCTTGCACAAACTGCATAGCGAGAACACATTATGGGTTGGTTGTGTCAATCTGTCCAGTGCATTCAACTTGAGAACCACTGGACGGGTTGGGATGAAATTTGGTATGAAGGTTGTGCCATTCTGCAAGACCTGAAAATCGTGCTTTTGAATATCGTACGAGTGGTGACAACAAGATGATGGATGAGGATGCTTTACCATCAGATTCAGAGACTAGTTCTATTTTAAAAAGTCATACAGTGAAACACTTCACTTACTATTAACATGGGTGAAGGGATCTGTTACGTTACAGCAGTTTCCTGTGGTTGAAAACTCCTGAGGTGAGAATTCAACACAGTTGGTCTGCAGCAACTTCTGCGTAGCCAGCAAGGCGGCGGCAGCACAGTCTGTATCCTGCATATAAAACAGGGTTCGTACACACACACACACAGGAGAAATCCAAAATGCACACAAAATTTTAATCAGAAAATATCAAGGAAGATGCCCACTTAGGAGACCTAGGATTAAATGGGATGATATTAAAATGGATCTTGGAGAAATTGGGTGTCAAGGTATGGGATGCACATGAATGGTTCATGATAGGGACCAATGACAGGATTTTGTGAATTCTATGAAAACGGAATTTTTTGACCAGCTGAGTAACTATAAACTTTTCAACCCACACATGACCACAAGAAGAGTGATCTGAAGGCTGCCAACTCTATTTATGAAAGGAACCTCAATGAAATGGAGCTCATGACGGTGAACTTACAGCATGAAGAAAACCAGAGAAGGTGCGATTGAACACTTCCTTACCTTGATGTAGGCATTAAAAATGATACACCAAATCTACGACATCGTAATCACGTGTCCTGACCAGTTACAGTACATGCTAGTGGCTATGCACCTGCTCACTTCACTTGCCAACACTACTGGGGGCTCCCATCTCACCCCTCCCTTATTTCCCCTCATTTTAGGGTAGGACAATGAGGGAAGGGGGGAATGAACAGTTCATCCCATTTCAGCTTTAAATGCTAATGCAACGCAACACTCACAACTTCACATGGTACACCTGTTCACGAACTCTCTGTTTCATCAGACATACTCACTCCAGCACCTCCAACAAATTGTCCCTGTCATCGAGTATTTTGCCAGTGTTCTATCTGAGCTTAATTCAACATTAGCCACACATGAAGAAGTTAAAAACTGTCCAAAGTTTCACTCATCTTCGCTGCAACAGCCTTAGGATTTCGTTTTCCGAACCACTGCCGATATTTACGCAGTTTTTGTCGCCTTTCTCCTACCACATTCACTCACCATAATCTCACACAGAACAATTATGTTTCATTACAGTGATGGCAGCACTACCTACCAGTAGAATTAGGTCCTACGATTACTGTCAGCAGCCAGTTTGTTTGACATAGATCTCTCACAAAGTATGATTAGGATGTTACTGAATAAAGTAACATTAGGGCCTACTTAATATAATAAGGTTCCCAATATTTTCATAGCGAAACAGTGAATATTTCAGTCTATCACAACGAGAAGTACGCGACTCCCCGACAAACAAGAAATGCCTGTTTTTGGTTTAAACCCCTGAACACAAGGACAGCTGTTCAGCAATTTGTACACTCACCTCAGAATAACTGGGGACAGAGAGGGAGTCCTCCTCAGAGTGAGCTTCATCTGTCACTGAGACAGGAATGAGTTCTCCCACGCTCACATTGTTCACGGGAGTTAACGTCTGTACTGAGCACATTGCGTTCACCATGCTGGACATACCAGGACCCCTGGAAAGAATTCACTCCAATAATATGGCACATGATGGACAAAATATTCTGAACAAATAAAATAAGAGAACAAAGGTTTGGAATCTTCATGGTTTTGCATCCCCCAGTGGCCTAACCAACACTAATCTATTCTCTTTGCTCATATTTTATTATATACTAATTACTATGAAAAATATTTCACATAAAACATAAGTCCTCACACACCATGTTTTTGTATAATGAGCCTTTTTTGAGAAAATCAAGAAAGTGTTACGTTCAGTTTCAAGTGAAGCAGTGATGACTACATTACGATGATTTATACCAAAATTAAATTCATCTGATGTAAAATGTCAGCTCCAAATTTCATTAATACTGATTCAGTAATTTTAGGTATGAAATTCGTGAAGTGACAGGTGAATGTGATCCCCCTCATATATGTTCATTTCATGCATTTTGTACAAAAAACACTCAAATTCGAGACCTAATTAACCTCTCTGAAGGACCAAAAACTGACATCATCAAGTACCACTAGGGCTAGAAAGCTTCAGGACAGTCAATATGAAGATGTCACCGTACGCAACGTTCAGGTCATACTTCAACTAAAACTGAAATTTGACAGATGGTAAGACTGCAGCTGTGGTGCAGAAGTATGAGAGGGGAACCCATTTTTCAAATTCTTGCACACATTATTAGATGCCTATTCTGGGGGGTAAAAAAGGTGTCTTCGAGAATATCCAGGTGCATTCACGGCCTTATCAGAATGTAACATGTGATAGAATTTACAACAGATGAAACAAACTATGAAGTTGCGGAGGACCATACAGATGAGACATGTAATTCTGTTTGAAGGAAAAAGCTGGGGTCCATAAAGACAACAAAAAAATTAATTCAAAACCATTTGTTCCATCAACCAGGAATCACAGATGATTGAAATACATGTTCAAGTGTCAGATATACATATATTTCTTCCTGACTGAATCTTAAGTCTTTGAACGAGGAATGTTGTCATGCAACTTCAGAGGCTTCCCAAAAACTTCTGACTCGTGTCATTGCAGAATCAAGCCATAACTGTAAACTTTTAATATTTTTATTATGAGGCTGTCGCCTTCATAATTGCAGGGTTTTCTTATGTCAATGTCTCTTTTGCGACTACTGCAAGGGTGCCAATATCAGGTCTGAATCACGACAAGTTTGGATTGAACATTAACAGCCTTTCTTCAACTACAATTATAAGCAAGTGTGCGCACATGCTCAGCCACACTCACATGCATGAACACACAAATTTAATTTAGATAAGCTTAAGTTGTGTAATATAAACTCACTGAGTATCTTTATTCCTCCCTGTACCCCGTGAGAGGTTTCGGGTTGAGCTCCGCCGGGATTGTTGGGGGGAATAACTAAGCTGCAGCTCGCTCGGCTGCTCCGAGTCTAACACTGGCAAACTATCGGGGCGAGGTGACTTGCTTTCTGTCATACTGCCATCATGTGGTAAGGAAGCCTGTTATTTGAATAATAAAAAAAGTCGTGGTACAATCATTAGAGCCACACATACATATTACAAGGGAACATGAGACTACAGCACAGTGAAACCTCCTTGGACTGAAATTTTTGTAATCTGTTCAGAGTTCAAAGTTGTGGCCTACAAAACAGGCTGTATACTGCTAAAATCAAGGCCTTCCCTTCTTTAATCTTATTCAGTGTCATTTAACAGCACTTCTAGCTGAATTAATGATATTATATTAAATGGAAGGATAGTTGTAAATAATAAATTGGAAAGGATGTGGAAGTGGTCATGGTCTATTGTATTGTATTGTTTCTGCATATGCCTGGAGAGAATAAGGTACACCATAAAAACGTTCAGTACTGACAAAGATCACCCAAATATAAGCTTCATGTGATGTTCAGCTGAGAGAGGTTCCTTATATGGGGATTCCTCTTCATGTCCTCTTTCCTTACTCAGTTTATTTAACTTCATAAATCAGCATCACCCGCAGCTCACATCTACCCCAGAAAATTTGCCTCTCCATGGTTACATTTACAGAAAATATGACTCTCAGTTTCTGAGACTTCATGAAATCTTCTGTGGAGATGAAAGCACTATCTTCTTATCTGGTTAAGATAGACAAAATGTGCGCTTGCACAATACTTGTGGTGTGCTCACTCTGTTATTGCCTCCAGACTTTGAATTCATTAAGGCACATACGAGCAGAACACACAATTGTGGGAAGCTGTTTGTTCTGCCAAAACATGAACTCTGACCACTCTGTATGGTGCCAGCGGTATCACAGATGCCTAGACCTTTGTGTGGGTGGGGTGTCCGGCTATGTGATGACATCACACAGGATTCCACTTCATGGTTACATGGTTGGGTGCATGTCATTTCTGTAAGCAGAAACATGCGTAGTCTTCACGTGAAGTGCTTGTCACTGTTGTTTGACTTCAACTAAAACTGGAATGTGTTCACAATTTGAGTAAAACTCTCCAATATCATATTTCATGAAAATCTGTTCAGCAGTTCTCAAGTTGTTACATATCACAAAAGGACACAGACAGACAACACAATGATGCTAAGAGATGTACCTTTGCGACTTTCTTATGAATGGGCCTGGAAATGTGGATTTCAAACTGGAAAACACATATTTTCCAAAAGAATTATCTCTTGTTTTCGATATAAAATTATTGTTTATGGCCATTCACCATAAATCTACTACTGTACAGTCAGAAATTATATTTCATTGTATTCTGCTAAATATTCACCAAATCTATGAACATGTATGAGTAAGCTTTCACGGCAACTGAATGCAATGAAGCCTTCTTGGGTGGTGAACTGTGTGCAAATAGCAAATCCAATCCAGTGTTTTGGAGACTATCTGTGACACCATCGTTAGCGCTGATGTGATGAATGGTGCAACTGTATGCATATTTATACCTATGGCTGGCTCTCAGTGTTCTGCACCCTTGTCAACAAGTGGGCTAATAGGGTCAGTGTCAGGTGGTCAGTTATCCTCGTCCTGACCCCGTTCAAATTGCTTAACCTAGATGTAGGCTACAGGTTCTCAATGATCCAGCCTTCAGTTGATGCTCTGTGCCCTGGTTTGCTGGAGTATGCCGGTAGCTAGGTTCCAGAATCGCAGCCAGCTCTCAATGGCCTCTTCCACTATTCAATCCGTGTAGCTTGTCATTCTGGCCAGTAATCTGGTGTCCATCAAGCTGGTGCGGTGGCCTTTTTTGAAACTCTACTCGGTCGCAGCAGAATGTCCAATTGGTACAGGTGTGGCTGTTGCACATATTCCTTTTCCTCATGTGGATAGTGCAGCCCATCTGCTCTAGCATACATTGTCATATTTACAAGGGATGCAGTATAAATCTGGGACCTTGAAGCCCAAGTCATCCATTGCTGATCTCAGCAGACACACATTTTTGCCTGGGATTTGTGTGCTATTCTTATGCTGAATCTCCCTACATAAAAAGGCTACAGTGCAGGGAACATCCATCAAGCTCTCAACTGCAAACAAAAGAATGTGCACCTACTGGGATCAGTAAAAGATGATTTGGGCCCCAAGGTCTCAGGAATATGTTGCATCCCTTGTGAATGTGGCAGACAAGTCTGCGGGAACCAAGCACTTCATTGCGTTCATCTAGTCTGGTGGTCCGGTGGTCTGCTGGTTAGCATTAAAGCCTACCATTGGAAAGGTCCCAGGTTTGATCCCCACCATTGTAATTAATAACAGAAAAAAGTGTCAGCGTCATCATAACCAACAACTAGAAGGCAAATGTAGTCAACAATATCCAACACATTGTTCCCAAAATTGTCACAAACCTTTACAGAGTCTACAAACCACCTATAAAACAAATGTCCTGAACAATACCGATTCAAAGAAATCTTGGTGTGTTTAACCATGCATCACGGCTTATGTGCAGTGCAACTGGCCACATGTCACACCAGCATACTGCTAAACAATTAACCCTTGAGTTGAAATGAGTGGTCATATCTTCCATTCCCATTTGATAAAGGTTAAAAATCGTCAATATTTATTTCTGACGCAGATTAAAGGTGACCCATAACTTTTTGACTCCAAAACCAGAGAGAAACACAAAATTTTTCATTCAGAGAAACACTGATTATACTTGTCCCAGGGGGTATTAGAACCTTACAAACTTTTCACTCACTTGCAGAAAAGGAATATGATCACTTTCTCCTGACACTTCAATGTAAACACTTCATTTTTAATATTATTTACATTTTTAAAGTACTCTCTTGGATATTTCTTGCTGTCAAAGTTTGATAATAATCTATGTAATTTTGATATAAAAATTTAAATATATGTTTTGTATTGTACACCATTCCTGCATACATCGATGAACTTTTCCCAAGTTCAGAAATGTAATCTACAGGAATAAATTAAAATTTACATTCCTTAATAACGATTTTGTTCCATGTAAATTCTTGGCAAATTCCAGTATAAGAACCACTAATCATTATAAAGATGGAGGTACTAACATTTTGAGCCTGTCCTCCAGAAACAGTCACATTACTTCCAGCAATGCCATCTGCAGGCTCAGTAGGGAAGGTACCTACTGTTTCTGCAGGCATCAGCATATTCCCCAAGCCACTTGCAGGGGAGTTAAGACATGTTGGAGGGGCACTGCTTGACACCACTTGCGTTCCTAAGTGTTGTTCTGCTAGGGTGTCCTCATCAAATGAAATTATGTGAGCTGGTACACGTTTGCGGCGACGATCCAGTTTCCACTTGCAGCTTGTATCTGCATGTGAATTATTTAGTTACACATCAGCACTTTTAATAATACCAGAAGAATGGAACATTTTTGCGTAAAGGTCAGGAGTAAAGCCATTACCAGCTGGGGTAACTCAATCAGCATAGTAAGTGACTATAGACTGGACAACGGGTTCAATCCCCAACAGGAACAGAGAATTTTTCCTTCAGCCTCTGTGTCCAGACTGCCTCTGGGGTGCACCAAGCCTCCTGTCTAATGGGTACCAGGGTCAAAGCATGGTTACGGCATGAAGCTAACCACTCGCCCCTACCTAGTGCCGGGGTTAAGAATAAGTAAAAGCTGTACCTCCTCTGCCCCACGTGCCTAGATGGTGTATAGCAGGACAACTGTTCTTTTACATTACCACCTCACCTGGCAATACAGATTGCTTTGTTACTGAATCCAAATGTGGCCAGACACTTCCTCAAGCAGTTTAGCAACCAACTTGTTCACCAAACGTCAATATTGAAAACTTATAAACAATTATGTGATGCCACGCGGCTCATCAATAGAGATTACTGCAATATCAACTTAATGTGTGGATGGACAATCAAAGTCACACTTGAGGGACACCAAAAACAAGAGAAGAGCAGGAAGATTAACGTGGTCAGTGCAGAGGCTAGTTACTGGGAGAGAGAAATGGCTATGAGTGATGCTGGCCTACAGTTGTCCATCCTCATTCATACTGAGAGGCACCAGAAAAATATCCTTTACAAGAATCAGGAAATGTAACCGTACTACTAAAATCAACACTAAGATATATTCTTTTGTGTAAACAAACACATGAGAAATTTCTTCAGAGGCTTACCACTTTTGTCTTCTGCCATAGTTTTACCTGGATCAGATGCAGCAATTACAGGTTCAGACCGCATAAGAGAAGGGACCAATGGTTCTACATCGCAGTGCGCGTGGCTCAGTTGATTCAGATCTGCGTTGTCAATGCTTATAGCAAACAAAATGGAGCCTAGACCTACAGAGGACAGAGATTTCAATAATACGACGGTCATCCAGAAATGATCGGGATTCGCCTGGAACACAGGCTGAGAGACGATGACAGCCACATAATCACACTTCACATAATCCCCACTGAGAACAATGCACCATTTCCATACTTCTGGTAACTTCTTGATGGATGCAGCAAACCAGTCTTTTGGGATAGTAAGCATTGACTCAAGACAAGTCATTTGATGGCTGGTATGTGGCACGGCACTAACACACAGCACCAACGCTCTCTGTACCCATCTGTCATTGCACTGTTGATGGAATTTTCCAATGAAGACACGTGAGTCACTACACTGCTGCCAATTACAAAACAGTGACTTGCAAGGTAGTGTGTACTATCCTGAAAGACTGGTTTGCCGCATTCATAAGGAAACTGCCATAAGGACGGTGATGGTTCACTGGTATGTGGCATAAGCAAACAAAATGGCCCATGAGATATACAACATATGCACATTAGACTGGAGTGCACCTTCCCGGTATTATTACATACAATATGGCCGGCTTATTTACTCCGGACCAAGTATCAAGAGTTTTGAACCAGTGATAACAAACCTGCAGCCATCGTTGGGAGCATGCTGCTTCTCTCCTGGTCTAGTAAAAATGCCCAGTCTTCAAAGAAGATAGAAAGATGGGCTGTGCTACCAAGCATGCAGTGCAGATAACGTTCCAGTGAGTGTTCATTGAGAGAAGAACGCAGCCACGCACGACCACGTCCTAAATCTGTCCACACGTGCTTCAAAACCAGGTAGCGCTCGTACTCGTGCCTCGTCAAGTGCTCCCGCACATAGTGCCATAACACTACAACAGAAAAATCTTATTATAGCAGTTTCCATAATACAAGCCTACAAAGTTTTCGTGACGGAAACAAATACCATCACATACATAAGGGCATCTTCTTAAAGCATTATATCAAGACAGAGCATCAATTCAACAGAAATGAAATTTTAAGTCGAACAGTTTGTAACTTTACACTATCAAAGGGTTCCAATTAGAAATTATATTACATAAACTAATCTTGTTATAAGAACTAACTGTATGATACCGTGTCTTCTTCAGCAAGTGACACAGTTACAAAGCTGATCAAGAAATTCACTGAAGGCTCATAACCGTGTTTACAAAAAATCATGACTGGACCCTATCCTCAGCTGTCTGAAACCAGTCCACATCTCCACAACTATTTTTTTGTAAGATCTACTTTAATATTATACTCCCATCAAGAGCTAGTCTCCCAAGTCATCTCTTCTTGACATTTACCAACCAAAATTTCACACACATCTGTATAGAGTGCCTAATATTTCAGCACAACACAGCAGTTCACATCTTCCTATAAATACACACAACTTAACAAAATATACTCAAGTTCTTGTTGCTTTACCATGGGACATCCCAGACTAAAGCACAATGCACATTTCCTTGTCATACAGCAGAACATATCTTTTGAGAAACATGGAGCTTTCTGATGTTGATCCAGTTTTTGGGTGAAGCGCAGAGTAGGTACACGCTGCATTTTAAATGTTTCACAAATCACTGCTGCCTCCATCTTCAGGAAAATGTGACTGCCCTACCAATACTTACAATACAGGTCTGCCATTTTAGTGTCGAGCCATAACCATCAGAGCCATCAGTGCTCTGGAAAGTAAAACTTCAGTCTGAAATCCTGGGAAGTCTACAGGGTCCCATGTGAAGTCAGAACCGTCTACATCAGAGAAACAGACCCTCGACAGAAAAAGACACAAAGGAGCAACAAAGAGATTTTTCTTTTTCACCCAGAATAACTGGTGGTATTCGAAGACACTGCATCATTCATTTTGAAAACACGATGGTGTTAACAAACCACCAGGCATTTCATGAAGCCATTCAAATCAGAACTTCATGAAGAAATTTGGTTGTCACATCAGCTCAGTTTTGAATACCATCACCTACATTCCAAGACACCCCTACTTTATACAACCTATCACTTTAGATTTGTTTCAGACATTTCTAGGGCTTACTTTCTACTACTATTTACTTTTTTTTCTCCTCCTACTCGTCTCCACAGGCACATAATTCCCATGTATCCCAGCATTCCAGACATTTTCCAGAAAGAGATCAGCCCCTTTAAAACCTGCCCATCTTACTACTGGTTTTCATTCAATGCTCACCCAGTGGACCAAAACTAAGAATATCGGCAGGAGCCAATGGGCAACGAGACTGCACTGAAAATGGAGTAACAAGAATCTCCAAAACATGGGCAATACAGCCCACATCTACACAACCCCACCAGCCAAACACAGGATCAACATTAGCACTGAAACACTGTGAAAGCTGTGTGCTGAATTCTTCCAGTTACCATCCAACTATAGGGTACTTGTTGTTGACTGCACTCATCTCACTGCCATCTCTGTGTCAGACACACAATCACACTTTCAACAGACGTGAAGAAGCCGATGCCCGTGAGGAAACAAAGGCTCGTACAAAGATATGACGTGAACTGACAGCCATTTTGTGCACATTATAATTTTCTGTGGTTATTTTCAAAACAATTCAGTTTACAGGCCTCAGTCAGTATTCGGAAGGCATTCTCCACAGTGAAAGCATTAAGCTAGTGTTTCTCAACCAGCATACCACAACACATTCAATTCAATAAATTTAACAATAATTCACATCATGGCATAATAGCAGTCACATCTCGTTCACCCACACTGTCCTCTCACCAGCTTGTAAAGAAGCTTAAATTGTTACTGCTTTGATAATTTTCATATTTGTGTATATCATATACACACTACACTTTTTCAAAACAACAGTTGTTAATCATAACATTCCGTCTCATAATTTGCTACTTTCTCTTAACATGTTATTAGCCTGTTAAATGTCTTTCTGAATTGTAATGTACATCACACAAGAAATGTATAACTTAAATGGCAACCATAACAAAGTATAGAGCGATTATAAACACAATTTATGCGCAAGACTTGCTGAGTGAAAAAATTGAAGGTTGTGTAAAATGATCTGCAACGACTGTGTTAAAAACCAAACTCACAGGCAGTTTCTACAATTAATTTCAGCAAATGCAATACAGACCTTGATGGTCCTGTGCTGGACCCCGCCCCAAATGCAGACTGCTAGATACAATCTCTGTTACTTGCCTGTGAAAATGAAACAGATGAAGGGTGTATACTGATAATCTGACATCTGGTGCAGGCAGGAAGAAGGTCTGACAGTGGGTGCAGTATAAACTGTGAAGTTCATGCAAGTCCTATCATATTTCAACACAGATCTTTTCACTGCAGTTTAATTTTTCAGCTCTACAAAGTTTGAGTATTTGTAGAACTTTCATCACAGCTTTTTTTTATTATTTGTAGTGTTCTGTCTGACGACAGGTCCATATATCATGAACAGGATCCTTCCAACCTCTTCAGGTTGTCAGGGACCTGCTCATACATATATACATTCTTGGCAGAGATGATCAGAAGTGGTTTGCCATTGCCTTCTTCTGTGTGTGAGTGGAATAATTGTTGGGATGCCACGGAGAAACCGGGGAAGCCCCCGGAGGAAAACTCTGTGATGCCTAGACCACGGCCTTGCCCAACACAAGTTATAAATTTGAGCACCACCGGGAATTGAACAAAAGATTAGTATGCTTACTTATCATAAAATACAGACCTGATTTCAAACACATTTTTAAACAAAGAATATTGACAGTAATTTCTGGTTAATGTAAGTAGCTTTGCAACAACAAATTATCTGCAATAAATGAACATCAAGGCCAATGAACTACACAAAAGAGCAAAGAATACAATCAGAAAATGTGTACCAGTACTCTTTTGCTCCCTTTATTTTTCAAAAAAGTTTCTGTTCAACACAGATACTAATGTCTGGATAAAAAACACTGCATTGTATATATCCCTTGTGCTTACAACTCAAATTTCAAACCAGAAATTCATACAATATGTGTACATTCCAATGCAATGTTATTCTATAGTACATATCTTTCACCCAGAAGTAAAGTTACAAATCTGCAAAAATGTAATTTTTCAGGAGACAGAAAAATGCTTTTCTTACCATGTAAAAAACAGTTGTTCAATGGTAATTTCTGCTTAACCAACTGTTAAGTACATCTTGTAGTGATAATAACAATATAATATTTTTCTGTGTTATTGCTCTCTTATATTTTCCAGTACTACATTAAATCATTCTACAGATACTTTGACAACAATTAAAATTAAATGTTTCACATTTGGAAAAGACAAACATTGTTTCTTCTTAAATAAATTTCAGGAAGTCCAACACAGAAAACAATAAATATTGAAGCACATTATTTTTTTTATTAAACATATATGTTTCCAACTTCTATTTCCATCCTCACATAATCAAAGAAGCAATTTAAATCTCTAAATACCACCACAACTTTAACAATGAGGTTGATTACAGATTACGCAAAGCCTGGCTTCACCCATTTCCCAAAAGCGATCCCCCCTACCACCTCTATCCCTAAATATCAAATAACCTTGACCCCTTGCATTCAGATCTTTTGCTTACTGGGTGACTGAACTACAGTTGATCGATGTGCACAAGAATGGGGAGGGGTATTTGAGGAGGGTGGTTCTGGATGTCATGTTCCAGCCCATAGATGTTGCTCTCTCTCTCTCTCTCTCTCTCTCAGTTCTCCAGCGGAGCAAGGTTGTTTGTGTTTAAGTTTGTATAATGAGGTTAGTCTTGGCTTCTGTTATGAAACTGATTTTAAGGCCAACTTTACATAATAATCATTATCCTTTTCCACTCCCCATAGTTCTCAAGGCTTCTTTTACTGCATGTACTCCATCTGGCTCTGAAGAGGGCCCATTTCTTCTTTATTTCTTGTCCAAACACCATGGACAAAGAATCGTCTCCTCTTTGTTCCACATTCACATTTATTGAGAATCCTTTCCATTTAACAGGGTCACCAAAACTTATAGGATTTGAGGTTTTCATGGCAGTGAGCTTGAAGATGGCTGTCTTCTGGGTTGTTGCAGTGTAGTCTGGTAGAAGTTTACCTACATTTCAGAGGTCCTTGCTGCCTCCATCATCAGGGTGATGATGGAGGCAGCAAGGACCTCTGAAATGTCAGCAAACTTCTACCAGACTACATGGCGTAACAACCCCAAAGACAGTCATCTTCTCACCAAAACTTCTTTCATCACCTCTTTGCCTCAACCACATGCTCTCCTCCAAATAAGTAGCAGTGATCCACACCTACTGCTTGCCCCATACAGTCTTCCAAAAATGCTCAACCACCACACATTCATCCAAAGATGGCAACAGCGATGCTTACTTTCATGCTGGATAATTCTCAACATTCATCACAGTTCACCTCAAAAGCCAACCTTGCACAACAAAGATGTTTGCAAAACAAGACACCAAGGAACCAGGAAATATGAGACAATTAAACTTGGTAGTGGTCAAGCTTAGAACTATTAAAGTGACTTAGCTGCTGTTACAGAATAAGCTAAGTAAGACTAAGGCGTGATCTGCTGTATAAAGCCAGGACTGACAGAGATATTGTATACATTGTAAATAAATGTAGCATGGGATGCATATTTTACAGACTAGCCTAAGGAAAACCATCACATCGTTGTGCCCCGATCTGTATAACAAAAGAATTTTTCTGTATATATTAAGTGAATGCGAAACTGTAAATACTGTTAAAATGTGACAAAGACTTCAGGTTAATGACAGACTTGACCTCTCATCATACGGTGTCCTACGAAGACATGCTGTGTCAATACACAGACTGTAAAATCTGGTCACTAACACCAATACCAAGATGGACTGACTGACAGGCTGTCAGTTATTCTGTAACTTTGGCCTGGACATCCCTCACTTCAGCCCTGAAAATGGAGGCAGTATGCTAATCTAAAACATTAGTACCCACCTACAGGTCCACATGGCATTGCAACACAGATCACCACCATCAAGAGGATTCAGATCTGCCTGTACATGAATAAAATGTGATGAGACAGTAAAATGGACTGAAATGGAGAACAGAGGAAGATCTAGTAATTTTAGCTCACATAAAATATAATAATGTAATGTTACCTTCCCCAACCTAAAGAGGGATGTCACATATGAGCAAGAAGGTCAAATGGATTAAAACCCATTTTGCAGTTGTAGACATGCTAATGAAAACATCCAGCACATGGAAGTTCTCCTAAAAAGAGAGACAGATTGTATATTTGCAATAAATTATCATCCTACTTATACCTGAAAGCTGAACTATTCTTCAGCAGAAGTGGCTTACTTCGAAGACCATGACACAATGCTGCTTCTATTCGATTGCAGAGAACTGCTACACGTGGATGACTTTCTGTTGCTAGTTCAGCACGCCCACCAAATCGAATTTGGCATTGCTTTACAGCCTCTAAAAGTTCTGAAAGCAATCTCTGACGTTCCTCTGCCCTTGTAGTGCCAGATGATGCATCTAGCACTAGGGCTGACATCATTGTAACAACCTATAACACAAATGTCACTGTAACTGACATTTATGATTCATGAAGTTCCACGATTTGGAGAAGGCAATTACTGAAATAAAACTTTACTGAATCAGTTACTCAGTTTCATACAAGTGAAACTTTATGCCACAAATGCATTTCTCTCTGGGTGCCATAAATCCGTCAGCTACTCTGACTGATATAATGCTACAGTAGTCTGTCACCTTCAAACAAAGAATGTTCTTATTAGCAATAAATATCGTGTACCGCTTTAAACGTACCAATACACTCTTTTTTTCTGTTCAAACTGTTTCATTACACTGTATGCCATTTAAACGTGCACGTACTTTAGAGCACATATTACATCATTAACACAACTATAGCTCAAAGCACTCTCGACACTTCTTGAACTTCACCATGGCTCAAACCTCTATACATCTACTATCACGGGTTATCGCAACCACCTATCAGTACATCGAGCGCACAGATAATCACAACACTGATTTCCTCCGAAAGACACTAGTCTCACAGATGTAAGCACACATTCATACGAATCAAGTATCGTTATTTGAAAGAAGGAATCAATTTACCTATACTATAGCAGTTCCTGCCGGGAGCCGAGAAGTGACATGTTGAGTTCCCATTTTACAATGAACGCATCGTATATGTCAGTTACAGCACTTCAGGGCAGAATAGTGTAGTAATCAACTGTTCAAAAGACAAGTCATGTTATTTTCCTCAGAGCCCAGTGTAGGGTTAAGGTCTGATACAGTTTTAGATTGCCTTCATTTCCAAGGGCGCCATTCAGGATATTACTCCTTCAATGCCACACAGGCTTCGAAACGGTAATTCTCAGCTTTCTTTAGAACGGTGTACCGCAACCTTGTTTCACCCTAATTTGTCAAAGGTACATGACGGCAGGCCACAAAAAAGGGTACAAAACGTTTCATGGTCATAAATAGGCACCAAATTTAAACCCTTCCCTATAAGAATATGAGCTTATGGTCTTTAGAATACTAGCTAAATCTAATTGTGTTTTGTGCAAGGCTAAAGAAACGCTGCAGAATTACTAGGGTACTTGCAACTTTAAAAGCCTATTTATAAAAACCGACATCCACGAAACACTGATTATTGAGATTTACTGCGTAGTTTTTTGGAGTGGAAAATCAGTATTAGCAAAATAGCAATTATATCAATTAGGTCTGAAAATTTTGTTACAAGGACTTTTCTTTGGTAAGGTTGGTACTTTTACTGCTTTGCCTCCGGAAACGGGTGTCAGTTGTATTTCCGTGTGTGTGTGTGTGTGTTGGAGGTGAGAAGCCAGGTCTTGTAATTGTTCTTAATCTAAATCGAATTTCATCTGCTGTTTAGTTTATCATTTATAAGTAGTTTGTACTTACAACTGTACAGGATAATCTGTGGAATTATAAGGTGTGATTTATTTTGTAGTAATTGTTGTTTTGCAGGTGACAATGGGGCGAAGACCTGCAAGATGGTAAGCTTAAAATATATATTAATCGTGCTTTGACCTTAGATATAATGCAGAGTATGAGTGGACTATTGAAAAGTTCTTGTGTTTTACTATTCACATGAGACACGCGGTTTGGTTATTGATATTTAATGTTTTGTGTATATGATATCTTTAAGTTTTTACATATGGTTGTGGTTTTTCAGTTACCGATATTGTAAGAACAAGCCATACCCTAAATCTCGATTTTGTCGTGGTGTGCCAGACCCAAAGATACGTATTTTCGACTTGGGAAGAAAGAAGGCACGGGTTGAAGACTTTCCTTTGTGTGTTCATCTTGTGTCTGATGAGTATGAACAGCTGTCCTCTGAAGCACTTGAAGCAGGCAGAATCTGCGCTAATAAGGTAAAATTCATTAGCATTCCAAAAAGTTTCATTGTCATTATTGCCTTACAGAGGTGTTACAGGTCAACATAACATCTTTATACATGAATGCACTGGCTGCCAGGATGACTCCTGTGTTAACCCATTATAGCAGAATTGCAGATGATTGTGCAAGAAGTTGGAAATTTAAATGTTCAGAGTTTCTCTACATAGGCTTATTGGACTAGACTGAACATAGACTTAAATTCACATAAAATAACCTGATTATATTGAATTGGGCCCACTGAAGAAAGATAATTATGTCAAAATATAAATATTTAAATGTAACTAATTACATGAAAACATAGTGTGAACAAATGAGGCATAAGTGATCACTATTATAAAAATATTATTTTATGGTTTGTCAGTCTCCTAGCCCTGGAACTGAATTAAGATGGACAGCCTAAAATTGGTTCTTCACCTAAAGGTAGAAATTACAGTAAAGTATGTTGATAATATCTATATCATAATTTTTGTTACAGTACATGGTGAAGAACTGTGGCAAGGATCAATTTCATATTCGAATGAGACTTCATCCCTTCCATGTCATCCGAATCAATAAGATGTTGTCCTGTGCTGGAGCTGATAGGTTTGTTATATTTATTTTTGAATCAGTGTATTACATTATTTGTTTCTTGATTCAGACAAGGAGGTATCTTTTTCAGTTTGTAGTTTGATGTAAAAAATGTCTGCACGGTTGCTTTGTTTCCTTGAATTGGCTTGCAGTTACAAGGTTTTTACAGAGCAGTAAATTTATGATGAAGCTGAATTTGTGATGCTTGTTCATTTATATAATTTTTGAAGCCCGACACGAAACTGAAATTCGAAGTAACCTTAACATGGTTGGTTTCTATTGGCTTAGCTGCCCCAACAGCAACCTAATACCTAGGGAGGAGCATCGAGAGGAATTTTTCTGGAATGTGAATTTTGTTGAGTTTGCTTAATTGAAACTGTCTTATAGGCTCCAGACTGGGATGCGCGGTGCTTTTGGAAAGCCACAGGGAACAGTGGCCCGTGTACGTATCGGACAACCCATCATGAGCGTACGAACTAGCGACAGACATAGAGCAGCAGTTGTCGAAGCTCTGAGACGAGCCAAGTTTAAGTTTCCTGGTCGCCAGAAGGTAAGATTTATATGCTTCCTACTTAAGATACTTTTACATATTTTGAGTCTTAAACAAAGAAGAAAACCTTATTGTGTGTATTAGCATAGTTTCCTGTTCTGCATTTACATCTTAATTCTAAAACCCTGAAAATTACGGGCCACATTAATTTAATGAACTACGAAATTATACAGCAGAGGTCCAGTGAAATTCCAGTTTAACCTTTCTATGTTGAACAGTGGATTTGTATTTGTAAATGAGTTGTTTAATGAAGATGTATTTACAAGGTCAGAGATATGACACCATAATAGGAAATACAGCATAATAGAGTATGGGATATTTTAGCTGCCGCTCAGAGGGAATGAAAGGACTGGGAAGTTGTTTAGAATTTAGGGACCTGCAGAGTTGAAGCAGTTGTGATGCTATACTTCGGAGACAAAACACTAAAATGGATTTTGAAACTCCCCGTTTCATGACTAAAATTAGTGTGTGGCCATTATATGGGTATTTCTTACTATGTTTATAAATATTTTATCAGATACCGTATTAATTTGTATGAATTTATATGCAGATTTACGTATCAAAGAAATGGGGCTTCACTAAATATGAACGTGACGTGTATGAAAAGTTGCGTGACGAGGGTCGTCTGGCTGGAGACGGTTGCAATGTGAAGTATCGACCAGAGCACGGGCCACTAGATTCGTGGAAGAAGGTGCAAGTGGAACTGGCACAGGTGGCTTGAGTTTTGTGTTCTTTTCCTTGATGTTATTTCCGATTTCTGTACTACCTGGTATTGCTAATAAAGGTTTGCAGACTGTGTTACTGCCTTTTATGTTTTCTAGAATGTATTTCACCGAGTGCTAGAATTAATTAAATCAGTGGCGGAGAACCATGTGTACTGCCAGAAAGGATGAGGTCATTCCTCCATATTTCACAAGTACTTGCATTTCTAGAGATGGTATTAAACATATAATAGACTTTAATGATACTAGTGCCAAATATGATGGAGGCTTATCCAGCATTAAAATGCTATAAAACTAATAATAATAATAGCAGCCCTTCAAGGTCGCCAAGTATTATAATATTTAGCTGAGCTTAAATGTCCTTATTTACGTTGATGAAACTAAATGTCTAGTTTTGTGTTTGAGCACCTCCCGAGCCATTATTTTTGTGCATGGTTTATTGCTTTAAAATGAAAAGTGAATTTGATGTTTAATAATAACAAAATGCTACTAAATAGAAGGCTAAGTGCTACCAAGGCATTGAAGGTGGTATAATAGTGTACAGTTTGGAGTTTGTGGCATGTTTATAATTTATCACCTAGGCTTCCCAGTCTCGGTACTTACGTGTTTTCTCCAAATTATAACTGTCTCAAACAGCTTCTAGTTACTGTGTGATATCACTGAAAGTAAGTCAGTGATTTGAATTTCTGAATTGAAACCATTAGATCCAAACAAACTAGTTCTTGGAATGGTCATCTGTGAATTGGTGTTGAAGGACTTTGGCTCTAAGTCCTATGCCTGAAATGACAAAGAGACCATAAAATACTTCAATCAGGATAACCAGTCTCTGGGCCAAGTTTTTTAAACTGAAGCCTCTCAGATATGAAGTAGAAGCACTGATGACCTGATCACCACAGTTGACAAAATAACATGAAGCTCGTATGTAAATTGTAGTCAAAAGAAATCAAGTGATGAATATGCAGTGATATGTTCTTGGATCAAAAGCGATGTACAGTAGTCATCTAACCAGATGGCTTACCGAACCTGAAGGTTCATCACCGAATCAACCAAAGCCCTCCACCGGACCCTGTCCTGGGCCAACAAATTCCAGTCTCCTTCAACTCCTATCTCCCTGACATTAAACTCCCATCTACATCTAGGTCTCCCCAGCGGTCTCTTCCCTTCAGGTTTCCCAACCAATACCCGGTGCACACCTCTTGCCCCATCCATGCCCCACCCATCTTTCTTCTTGACTTAATCACTCTGACAATACTGGGGGAGTACAGATTTTTAAGCTCATCATTATGCAGTTTTAACAAGCCATGAAAGTGTACTCCATACCAGAACACAGAATGTCCTCATGCTTTCTTTGCAAAGTAAAATTAACTTCAAATAAAATTTCCTAACCTGACAAATAGACATTGCCTAACTTAACTAACCTACACTGGCCAAACAAAACCTAACTTAAAAAACTACCTAACAATATCTCATCTAGCCTAAGGTAACTTTCCTTACCTAAAATAAACAAAGAAACTTCACAGAATGTAACTTAACATAAACTACCCTCCAGTGGCTCTCGAGTAGAATCAACAGTCATCAAATTTGTAAGATAATACCAAACTAACTGTAAAGAAAAACCAAAAATGGAAACAGATAATTGCATACACACCTGGATGGGTGAGAAGTTCAGGATGGCCACTGAAGAGAGAGCATATAACAGGACATACGACCTATTATATGACAGGATGACGACAACAATGACTTGCATCACCAAGGCAGTTCCGGATTTGCCGATAATTTAAATAAGCTACAGCTTGCGGCCATACAAGATGAAGTCTCAAAATAATGAAATATACTTCTCTTCTAATTATATTATTTTAGATCCTGAAACTGATCATTAAGAACAATGTTTGATTTATTATCCAAATATTATGTTGAAAACATGTTGGCAGCCTTTAACGTACTTCAGACACTGGACACATGACATGAATGTGTATATATGAAGGGGTTGCTAACCATAGTTTGTCACGACAGTCCAGAATTCCTACTCCAGTTGCTGATGGACCACAAAATTATATTTCTTAAATCATTTATTATAATGAAGAAAGCACACTACAAGTTATGCAAGAAGTTACCTGTAAGAAACGATGTCACACGATATACTTTAATATCCAAGGATGAAATTCAGCAATAGTGTCCAGATGTTAACATTGAAATAAACATAAGATAATGCATGGCCAAGTAAATAGTTCCTTTCACTGACAATGAAAAGATAAATGTTTTTACCACTTTCTTTTTGTCTTAGGCTTTTGTCCTGAAGTAGAGAGTAGCTTATTATAGACTAAATGAATCATTATACGTACATAATGAAATAAGTCTCTTACGGTTAAGTTCATTTGGCAGAATATTTGACAAATAAGAGTTTGTTTTCAAACAGTGAACCTCTGCCTCATGTAGACAGACTATTCTTTGAAGAATTCCGTCTTCTGGGTTGTTGCGCCGTGTAGTCTGGTCGATGTTAACCAACGTTTCGGAGGTCATACTGCCTCCATCATCACCTGATGACGGAGGCAGTATGACCTCTGAAACGTTGGTTAACGTCGACCAGACTACACAGCGCAACAACCCAGAAGACGGAATTCTTCATACTCACCGCTGTGATAACCTCAAATCCTACAGACTATTCTTTCTCCTTTACTTGGTTAATGAAAGTAATTCCTCATTTATCTTTCTGAAGTGCTATATCTATGAGACTCTATCTGCTGGAGTTTCAAACTCACTGTAAACTTTGTGGACTTTTCTAAAGAATAGCCACATTATAAATTGTTGACCATCAACACAACGACACTTACTACAGATTGTAAAATGTCCTTAATGTTCAGTTCTGGGCATTCATAACCTTGACATTACATTTTCCCTGTAATAAAATACCATGTTATGAGGACAAACAGAGAGGGAAGTGGCACAGCACCATGCACTTATGACATCAGTGCTAAGGTATGGAAAAAAACTCTTGGTATCCACCGAACTGGATATGGTGGGCAGTATGTTGGCAAAGAGGGTCATCAAGCCCACAGCAGCCACATTACTGAGCAATCCATGTGTACTGGAATCCTTATATGCATGCAACTAACTCCATTACAAATCAAATGAAGTCACGTTACAGACACTGTTACCTACAGCTGCACTGATTTATCCTGGCTATTGGTGTGGTCATGATGACCACCCATAGCTGCTAAAAGCTGTCTCGTTGAACTGCTAGAGCTGTAGCTATCGCCACTTGAACGGTTGCTGAGATGACTTGCTGTACTCAGTGGTGTGCTGGGAAGGGAGATGCCCATCAGCCCTTCTCGTACACCCGGCATCCATCGTCCTGGCGTACTTTCCACAGATGATGACGCATTGGATGAAGGTGCACTTGATGTAAATGGACGCTCCTGTAAGAGAGAACAGAAAATTGAATATAAATTATTGGGCCTATGAGCCTATACAGACATACAGTAAAGTTACTGATCACTACAACAGCGTATGTTCTAAAAGGGCAGATCAGAAAGTATACTTTACAAGGTGTGTATCTTGAAATGTTCCAGCAAATCTTTGATGTGTGTAGTACGTCACTATATGACTCACACAGTACTTATCTACATGACCTCTCCATGAAGAATGGGGCACTTATTGAGATGAGTTTTTCTGTTCCTTGTCCACAAAAGTTAGTGTCCTGATCTTCCAGCAATTATTTCACCAATGTTTCCACATTGTCATAAATTTTAAATCCATGCCCCCACCCCTGAGGTTGCTTCAGTGACAGAAACAGATGAAACAAAACGTGAAAGGGCAAAGGTAATAATATGCAAAGAGCAATGAAATGGTTGAAATGACAGAACAGACATCACATCAACTCTGATGATGGAGGCAGAAAGTCTTCAAAACTGTGGGAAGTAATCCCATGCTCATGTGGCTGAGCACCCAAGAATACTTCTACATAATAAAATACCACAGAGTATGTATCCCTTATATTTGGATCTGAAATACAAATAATAAATTCATGCCGTACTTCCACTGCTCTTCCTGTTCTCCTTCCTCATAAAAGGGAGAAATGGCTGGCATTGCTTGCACCAGAACGTTGTTCTTTGCAGACGCACGTCTTTACTTGCCACTGCTCTTTTCCCCACAACACACAAATTCAACTGTGATTATTCACACCTGCACTTGTGCGTACTTAACTTCCTTACCCTGTGACCAGTCTGGTGACTGTATTACTCTGAAATGTGTGTGCGTGCGCGTGCACTGTATGTTAGTCATTCAAAGAACATATGCAAAAACACTTTCATTAGGGAAGAGTCAACTAACCCTGTCAGAAAATAAGTGGATCTGTAATTGTCCTACAAGAATGCTTGCATCTTATTCTTTGTAATGTTTGCATTTTCAAACCACACCTCTTCCTGTACAAGATTAATTTACTGTAACTGCCTAGATGTGGATTGCTGCCATGTACACCACTGAACCCAAATAACAAGCCAACTCTCCCCAAGATTCTAAAGATGTATAAGTATGGCTTATGGGTGACAGCCATGTTGAATGTTTGGTGTTAACCACTGTTTCGGCAAACACTGCATGGGGGGGGGAAAGAGAGAGAAAGTTCTGAAGGCCTTATGTGGGTCAGGCAGTGATGCAACAAGAGAGGAGTATGTGGCTGAGGAAAGGGATGACAGAATATTGAGAGGCGGTGACCATGTTGGACAGAAAACCCTTATAGTGAATTATGTGGAAGGGAATGGCAACCCTTTTTGAGGACTTGGTAGGGTTATTGGTTTGGGGAAAACAGGTGAAGCCAGGTTTTCCTGGCTTTGCTTAGCCTGTGGCCATCTTCGTGGTTAAAGCTGTGTGGCTCTTTGGATATCTCAATTGTCTCTCTGATTATGCAGGAATGTTAGCTGAAGTTATCCAGACATGAAATCCTATAGGCAAGAATGCTGTAAGTGGTTTCTTAACTGAATAGAATTTATTTCCAATAAAGAAGCTGATATACACTAAGTTTGCATGTAAATATTCCACACAGTTGTCTGTATAACCAGTGGAAATAAAATTGCATGGCACTACGTATATTGGACTTTATTATGTTTAATGGTGCATGTGTATTGTCACAGATGTTGGTGGATATTGGCTAGTAGACCCTTTACAATTACATACGCAATTCATGTTCCAAAATCTTCCTTGGGCACAATACAACGGTGGTGGTACAAAGAGGGGCACTGTACAAGGGTGTTACAGTACCTAGGTCTCTCAGGTTGCCTCTTTCCTTGTAGATACTTCACCAGAATTTTATATGAATATCCCCCCCCCCCATGCATGCTACATGTTCAACCATCACAGACTCCGTAATCAATCACATGAACAATAACAGTGAGTGAAGAATGTAATTATGATGCCATTGCTAGACTTCATATGGACTGCAGTGTGACCTTGCAGTCATGCAAATGTGACAAAAAAGAAGCTGTGCTGTGCAGAAGAAGCATGAAGGACAAGATATGAAGACTGAGTTAATAAATTATTACAAGGAGTTAAATAAAAAAAAGACAATAACATTAGCCACAAATTAGATGACTATGAGACCTACCCATTATTATGCAAAAGTATATTAAATTTTATCAATATGTTAACTAGTGAGTGAAGCACTTTTCAACATTCCGAAGTTATATATATATATATATAAATAAATGATTAGTAGTTTATGTAAGATGCCTCTTTAATATACTAAATCATTTCTGAGGGGTGATTTATGGAAACTTACGAGCACCAGGCAATCTGCTCGAGAGTTTGCTGAACTTCAGCGCTGCATTTGTCTTTTTCTTTTTGATTCTCTCATTGCAGCTTCAAAAATTCATTCATTCCTGCCCTGGTCTGATAAAGTTTTCACCAAAACAGTATAGTGTGCAGAATAATGTGTCTTATAGGTAACATGCTCATACAGAAAGGCATGACAAAACGTGACACTCAAGGGGAAAAAAAAAGCACTATACATGCTGAATTCATAATATAATATAATCCTGACCAGGGCTTCAGAAATACTGTTGTGATTGCCCACTCACCAGAATTCACTTAACAAGTACCAGTGAGAAGTACATTTTCAACCTTTGTTTAATTAAGTGTAAGCCACAGGAAGCATGACCAGGGTCTGATTCCTTGTAGTAGCGTAACTTTCTCTTTGAACCCATGCTCAGACCAGCCCTGGGGTGTACCCTGGACATCAGGCTTTCCCACAATATTAATCAGACCACACCCCTCATACTGTGCTGAATGAGCGACACGCTGCTTTACTGAGGTAAGGTAACGTCCCTGCATTTAATTATGCACATCCCATAAACATGTGGAGGTAACAGCTCCATGCATTCCTAATCCTGGTATGAGGTGGGTGGAAAGCTTCAAACACTGGCCATTTTTTCCCCAGGGAATGAGCTCTTGTTGCCCACTGGATAGGAGGACATCAGGGCACCAGAGCCAATCCAGACAATGGCAAAGAGAATAAATCCTTGCCCCTGCTAGAAATCAAATGCTGGTCATCATGTTGACTTCACACTGCCTAAAAGACAAGTGTGTACAGTAAAATGCAATTAGATCTGTTAAGCGGCTAAGAGACGTGTACTGCTGAAGCCCTGGTTTTGGCTTAGAGTTAATTTCTGTAAACTGACTAGGATGCCATTTCACAGCAATGTGTAAGGACTGAGAGGTAATTCACACCTGACTTGATCAACTGCAGACATCAAGACAGTGAAACCAGGCAGTGCACATCCTGCTCACCAACTCTCCTCAACAACAGACATGAGGAAGCGTGTCCTCCTGCCTCTCACCATTCAAATACAAGTCCGCAGCCTCCGCTTTCGTTAAATGAACCTGTAATAGCAGTAGGCTGATCCTAGCCTTCATCTTACAAGGCACAGTATATTGTAATGAAAACAGCAAAGAGTCTGAAGGAAACAGAAGATAGCTACAGTTACAGGCGTGCAATTAAGTTACAGGCAAACAGACAGGACTATAACGTACAAGGGAGGGGGAAAAGAAATTGTGAGGACAAATGTATGAACAGTCACAAATATCAGAAAAACCTCAGCAGAAATGGAGTACTCCTATATACACACATAGAAAAACATCTTCCTGTACAAGTATATATATATATATATATATAAAAAAAAGCACAGAGAATCAATTTTAATATCATACGAAAGGCTGAAAAATTATAGGAAGTAAATGACTGCTTTCTCTCATTTGCTGCCCCCACGGTGATTTTGAGGCTGAGCTGAATTATTATATTAGTAGCTCAGAAGCGATAAACTGGGTACTTCAGTTTATTACATAATGAGGAACTTTGTAACTTACATGACCCATTCATTACAACCACAACAGTGAAAATTACATGACAAAGAGCTGAACATGTCAGATGAGAGAGAGACAACAAATGCACATAGAAATTTAATGGGAAAACTTTCTGGAAATTGGCCACTTGGAGAACAGAGGAGATGAGAAAACAAAAGTAAGATGAACCACACACACACAGTTATGACAATGGGAAATGGATCATATCAAATGATAGTTTTAGTGCTAACAGTGTTGAACCTATGTATTATACTATCAGAGACATAAAGGGTTATCAGTTCAAATTCACAAAGGAAAACAAAATGACCATTAACCTCAAAGTGACATATCTAAAACTTGAGGTGGCTAGCCCAAAGAGTCATGAGCTGTCCATTTTCTTGAATAATAAGTACTGTTTATGGCATGGGTTAGAAAGAAATTATTCACACCAAATTTGTTATGCAGTAAAGTGTTAATGAACTTTGGTTTTAAAATGGATAAAAACAATGACATACTGAAGACAAAATGGGCAACAAAAGCTCAGTGAAGTGTAGAATGAAATGTGGATTCCTCAGAAAAATTAACCCAGGAGGATCCAACAAGATGGAATACTTAGGATGTTTAGATGTATTTCTAAAATACGAAGCCGTGGAGAAAAAACCAACACAAAAATTAAGGGTCACTAGCAATTAAAATACCTTTTTTAATTTTAGGGGTATTAGGAGGAGGGCAGAGAATAATAATATTGCACGATCTTGTGTTAAAGTTTTGTTCAATAACATAATAAATGCAATAAAATTAAAAGCGAATGCATCCAAGTTTATTCAATAAATAAGAAAGGTAATGAAGACAGAACTTGTTCACATTATAGGTCGATCAATTAGGAAAGTAGGTTTATAACAACAAAAACAGATGTGATGTTTGAAGAAAATTCAGATACAAGTAGATTGTCGGTAACCCAATAAAAGGACACCGAGAATAAAAGTGAAGAAAAACTGAAGCAAGTCGCTAGCGAAGGAAAGAAAACTGCTAAATGCCAGTAATGATGAGGATGAAAACACGAAGGTTCTTCAGGAGGGAGGGAGGGAGGTTAGAAGATACAGAAATCTGGAAAATGTGTTGACTGAATCTGAAAAGCCAACACAAACCTTTTCCAGCACTTGCATAACTTATTCAACAGTACCTGTCCACACCAGCCACAAACATGTCACGTGACTGCCTATTCAGTACTGCAGGAGTTGTGGCCAAGAGTTGGTCCTCCCACTTGACACACGAAAATGTAAACACATTCCATTCCTGAACACATTCACTAACACTGCTATTACTACCACTACTACTATTATTGCTATTACTAGTACTACTACCACTACTACCACTATTACTACTACTACCACCCAATCAACCAACCACAAAATCAACCGATCTCATCATCACTGATTTGTAAAGAACAAATTTTTATTCAAAGTTCAACTTGCTACTCTTCATGTTTAAGGAAGATAAATTAAAGCTATATGCAATGTTAAAGTTTAAGATTTAATTTTGTTCAGGTACTCACAAAATTTGATAAACCTTGAACTGCTAAAACAATATATCAACATAAATTAGTCTGATATCAATATGAATTTCCGATCAATTGACATCCAAATGAATAAAATTATGATTGAAAAACCTCAATAAAAGAGACATTTTGGGAGACCTAGATGTAGTTGGATATGAAGCAAAAGTGTGAGTGGATGTGCTGGATTAAAATGGTTCAGGACACAATCCAATGATGGGCTCTTGTGAGCAGGAGGTCCACAAAATCAGAGACTCTACTAATGATCAGTTTCTGAAGGACGAGCCTGCACTACGAGGGTCGTTACCTAGCACAGTGAGATACATAGTTAGTGATCCAATGGAATGACTATAAGAATGTAAGTAACAAGTGAAACAACGAACATGAAAAGTAAAGAAATCTCATAAAGGAAACCAGGTTATCCCAAGACACAAGATGGTACAACAAACCACTGAAGCCTGCAAGGTTGCTTACAAGCTCTACATTCCTTGAACCAAGTGGTGCAGATCGGAGCTTAACACTCCTGCTCCTTATTCAGGTTCTGGAAACTGACTATAATGTCAATTCTCCTCAGACCATGCAGGCATATACTGGAAAAGTTGACCACAACCACTTCCTTCCCAAAACATTCTCCAAACTTACACTATATAACACTTGCAGCTGAAAGATCATTAAATAGCAAAAATTCAACCAATCATTAATGATGTTGCTGATTTACCTCCCAGGAAAGAAAATTACTGTTTCCACTGGGTAACAAGGCACACAAATCCCAAAGCCATTCAGGAATTCATAGCAAAGATAAAAATTACTATGACCATACCAGCAATCTATCCCATCACTGAGGTAACATGGGTCACTAAATAAAATTACTAAATGAATTATTACTATCAAAGCCTAGGCATACACGTAACATTCATCACAGTCACAGTATGTTCTACTGCAAAATATTTTGTGATCATGGGGAAAATTATCAGAACTGACAAATCATTTAAACCACTTCAACAGGTTTTAATTATACATTACAAAAAACTAATAGTTGAAGGAAATATCAAGGAAAAGTTACTAATATTTTTTAAATAATTCTCAAAAACTTACTTTTCCCTGAAATCTTACAAAAATGACCATTTTACACTGACACCTGGAGAAAACACCCCCCTATATTTTTTGTTTAAAAAAACTGGACATGAATAAAGAAGGCTCAAAAGAAATGCACCTGCATCATTTTAAGAACCTGACTTAGGTTACTGCCTGCTGTTTATTCAGTCACTGTCACAGTTGTTATTGATGAAAAACTGCAAGATACCATTTCTTTCTACAAAAAGTATGTGGCAGAAAAATGTTCACTCTTTGTGTGAGAAGTCCGATACACATGCAGTCCACACCTAAGAACTGGACCAGACTGTTTTACGTGGTTCCGCTGTTCATGCATGATCACCAACCTTATCAGCGTGCAACGGACTCAGTATGGTAGTAGCCGGATCCTCCGGGGTATAATAGTCCGAGTCCTCCCCAGCAGCTCCCACTGGCCCCGTGTCAGCATCACCCCCTCCAGCAACTGCCAGGAAACACAGACGTGAAATTATTGCATTTAGTTGCCGCAAAAGCCTCAAGTCTTAAAAGAACGACTCGATTTTCATAAAATTAGGCTGTGGAGGTTATAGCATCACAGGCTAGTCCAAACCCACACTTCTTAATTTCCTACAATTGGTAATAGCAATGTGACAGATGCTCACAGTTATGAGGTGGAAACATCGTCCTCTGCCATGACATCACTACTACCCATGATCCTCTGTGATGACTCATGTCATCTCCCCTGATGCCACCTATCAGTGATCATACACACTATTTATGCTGCGATTAACCTCTGCTACAATTCACTGAATCCACCTACTCAATGTGCTTAATGTTATAAATACAATGTATTTATTGCATTTTCTAAGCTAAATACATGAATGTTAACTCACTCACTAGTTTTCTGTTCCTTATGCTGGAGGCACTTGGTTTTACCTTGACTACTACCAGCCATGGCAGCTAGTTCATCCTCACCCTGGCCAACTTCAACCTTCAGCTCCAAATCATCATCATCAACACCATCATCATCATCATCATCATCATCAAGATCATCATCATGTGGTATCACTGCAGAGTCAAGGGGTAGAGGGTCAGTACTGGTAGCTACATCCAAGAGTGGAGATAGCTTCTCAGCTTCACTGTCTTCATCTTGTGTCTGTGACAGAAACAAAGCATAGGATCAGTTCAGAAATCTCACAAAAACTGTACACCACTACACAATTCATGCTCCTAACGTTTCGTTATGAAGTCAGTGAAAAACTAAATCACAGTATACATCATATTTTCAGTTTTCATGTATGAAAAACAACAAGTCCACTGGCCCTTGCAGGTCACTCCATTGCATGTGATCTGAGTCTTCCCTCTCCTTGTCAAAAAATATCTGCATGTCAGAATCTCCTTTGATGAATAAGTCACAGGCAACTGAAATCAGGTGAAGCTCCAGCCTTCTGGAACCATTTGCACTGCTTCCTACGTAATGCGATAATTCTTCCAGCAAACAAGTTTTACACACCAGATGATGTGCTGATACATAGGTATTTGGGAGGAAATACATAACTTGAAGGTCCTCAGGGTCATTCTGCACTTCGCATTTGAAATGCATCAACAGAACGTCCCTCTTCTTACATGCCATCCCTCTTTCCATGCACTAAAGACACTGCCACTGACAAAATTACTTCACATTTTGGCTAGCTTTATATTTACATATACAATTTTTTGCATTTACTAAGCATAATTTTTCATACTTGACTCCTATTTTCAGGCCACTGGTTGTTATACTGGCAGGTCTGCTTAATGAACTACGGAATTACGAGAATTTACAATGCCCAGAGGCAGCACTAAATGTTTAACACAATGCTCGCATCAGTTCCTCATGTCCTGACCTTAAATAAATGCATCAAAGTCTGTTGTATAATTAGCTAGATTAAAACACAAGAAATATAAAACTGCTTATTGTTAGCAAATCATATGTAGTATAACATAATTTGCATGAAATTGCCAGTAAAAGGGATTTTTAGCTTTCAATAAATGCATCCACTTTGTATGTCCGTGACAGATAAACTTTATGAAATAACTTTAAAAGTTTCATAATATTAAGAAATATTTCAAGGCACAGACTAATCTTGAGCTGAAACTTAAAATTAATGAGTTCACACATGTGATTTACACTGGAAATGTGTGTGTGTAGTGTAAACAAAGGATTAAATATTACCTCATCTTGATCAATTACAGTCTTCTCGTTGACAAGTCTCACTGTGTCACGAGGTCTGAGTGCACTCTTGTCACGGCTGCAGTGCTGTACTAACAACGGCGACTTCGTTGTTTGATCCTTGTGACTCTCCTCTTCTCTGGCCAGAAGTACGGACATCCGGAACTGCAACGCCCAGCAACAATACAAAGTAGATAAGTCTCTCACCATCGCTTAACCCGAAATGACAAAGACATTATACTCGAAACACAGCGCAACAGTGATACAAATGAGAATTTATAAAATTAGAAAAACTGACCATTCTATTCGATGTTCATAAAATACGAACGTGGTTTCAACACATAATCTTCATTAATACTAAATAACGATATCTCAGACTATACAGCATCAACTGACAAGATGATTAGCGAACTGGAACTTTTATCATGACAAAGTACTTTCAGTGAAGTGATTTTTTGAAGGAGAAGAAGAAAAAATGGAAGAAAGGAGGACATTCACCATTATTACATTTTTTCCCTCATTTGATTATTTTATGTTCTGTTCCAGAAACTAATAATGTCCTTAACAGTCACATTTTACATAAATTCAAGACATTCAAAACAATGTAATACCAGTGCTCAAAGGACTTGCAGAAAATGGTTTCTGTCGATGTTCACACGCCTGTCACAGGCAAACAGAGAAATGTCAGAACGCATATTCTAAAGATGACCCCACACTCAGAGAAGATTAGTAACCCATCAGTCTGGCTGTTTGTCACGCTTCATACAAATGACACTTCATTATCTACACTGAAGATTCAACACACATTCTTATTGCCATGGTAAACTAACAAGTTCTTTTCATCCTTCAATTGTTTAAGAATCAAAACTGTACTGCATGCCACTTACAGCACAATGTACGCCGTTCTCGTTTCCTGCTCTGTGTATACTGTGCACAGGTGTGCTGGAAACATAACCCAAATATCTTAAATGTTTAAATTCTTTAAATCAAGGCTCAAATTACGATTTTCTTTGAAATGGATTTAATAATTTGTATTATATTTCATATATTCAAAGACAGTATCATGAGAAATAGTATTGAATAGGTCTAGATCTGACATTTTACAGTAACCATTGCCAGCCCAAAGATGAGGTCAATTTGAGACATGAAGATTTCTGTCTTCTGGGTTGTTGCGCTGTGTAGTCTGGTCGATGTTAACCAACGTTTCAGAGGTCATACTGCCTCCGTCATCGGAACGTTACTGTACACCTAGAATATAACAACTGCTAGAGGCTTAGGATCCTTTATATTTCTTAACAAAGCCATCTTTGAAGTTAATTAAAGGTCATACCTCTGGAGTGTGGCATCCACTGCCTCTAGGACTCTTGGTTACTGCAAATTCTTCAGGACTGGATGCCTGCTTCACTGAAGACGGAGTTCTCTCAGTACTGGACCTAGCAAACAACACAAATATACAGTCCACAATTTCTATTTGTGTACATTACAAGTAAAGTACAATCTATCTTTTATTAATTTTGCAGCGAAGCTTCAATGTTTATGGGCACCCCCCCCCCCCCCCCCCCCAAACGTGGTGAAGTCAACATTTTTCACACACAACAACATAAATAAATAAAACTTCCCATAAGGCAAGACCTCATACCAGTGTTGAAACATCAGAAGCATCCAAGGATCAGAAATCAAAAATGTTGCTTCATCCACCAAATTGCCCTGAAAAGAACCACTGCAATTTTCATGTTTTTCTTAAATTTAATGAACACCTCTACAGAAGTCACCATAAGTCTGATGACAAAGTTAAAGCCACTGTGAATCAGCCAGTGACTTCACAGACAAAACTCCAAGCTTTACTGGAATGGATATAAAGAACTCATTCATCACTGGTGTAAACGTATCGCGGCCGAGGGAAATTACGTAGAAAAGTATATATATATTGTCGTCTAAACTATATTATAAGATTTCTTGTTTGTTATATCCTTGAACCCACTTAAAACTGGAGTGGGGAGGCATTACTTTCAGTTCATCTTTGTTGTTTGCTGTATTTTACATATGAATTTTGTACATCTGATATGGAAATACTCTTCCCTCTTCAATTTAACCTTTCAAAACATATGTGCATGTTAATCAGGCAGACATGGCAAGTAAAAATAACTAAATAAATGTCACAAAACTGGTAGAATGAATATTTAAATTAATCAGAAAGCAGACAGAAATCATAACATTTAATTACATGTTCATATTTCTTTCTTGAACAACATGTAACATGGATATTTTATTTATTGTGGTATCATGTAATATCATACTCAATGCATAAAATATGTTAAAATAATCACAGAACAATTTAATTTGTGTAGGAGGTCTCAGTCTGATACTTTATCAACATTAAAACACGCAGGAAAAAAAATTAAAGTGTATTCAAATTAAGTGCATAATGTAGTGTGAAGTTACGTCATCTACATTTCTATGCACATCAACAACACTGAGAAAAACAGAGTTTCCACACCTGTTGAGTGCCTCCACTGCCTGGACAGCTACTTCCTGGTCAGGAGTTTCAGCAACATCCAACGGAGGAGCTGCAGGTACAGACCGAGCTGGACAAGGGCCATT